AGTTTCTTGTGGCCGCTGTTCTCACACGTTCTGGAGTAGGCGAAGATTGCGTTTGTTCTCATCCTTCGGGACCGGATCTTGTGATGCTCTTCCTGATCGTAGACAACGCCAGCCAACCACTTGCTGGCTGCAGAACCGAGCGTTCTTATTTGCATAAACTTGTTTTCTTTTACTAAGCACACCACAACACGCCACAAGACGACACGATGGGATCGAGACCACGAACAAACTTCAGGGCACAGCAAGCGGCTGGAGCTGATGCGTGGGCGCAGAGAGGAGGCAACAACAACGGGCCACAAAACAACAACGGCGGCGGTGGCTTCTTCAGCGGCTGGGGCGGTGGAGGTGGAGGCCCGCAGCACCAGCAGCAGTGGGGCGGGCCTCCTCCTGGCGGCTACAACCACGGAGGAGGCGGCAGTGGCTTCTTCAGAGGCTGGGGTGGTGGAGGTGGAGGTGGTGGAGGTGGAGGTGGTGGAGGCTACGGGCAGCAGCAGCACTACCCACCGCAGCACGGGGGCTACGACGACGATGGTGCACAACAAGCTCCCGGGGTGGGGAACAACCCGTGGGGTCCCTTTGCCAACATACGGCTCACGCCCACAACCATTGCCAAGCTCTTTGCCAGGTGCGCCTCATGTCTTGTCTTCTTCTCTCCCTAGCAAGTGCGGGTGGTGACGACGTTAGATTAACATTCATCTTTCTGTTCTGCAGCTTGTTGATTGATGCTATCGGCTTCGCTACGTATGCGGTGCCGGTGCTGGGCGAGGCTGGCGATGCGGTGTGGGCGCCCATCAGCGGCTTCCTCATATTCCTGCTCTACGGCAACATATGGCTTGCTGGCGCTGGGTACACACTGCTCCCTCATGCCCCTCTCTCATGTTCTCACCTTCACCTCACCCTGGTCCTCGCCCCCCCCCCCAGCTTTGTGGAGGAGCTGATGCCCGGCCTGGACTTCATCCCAACCGCCACACTCGGTACCCCCACCCTCCCCGCTTTCATTCTTCGCGCTTCGTTCTTTTAACGCCGCACACGCACGACCGCACACGCACACGCACACGCACTCACAACAGCGTGGGTGGCCGACAACACGGGCCTCCTACGGGCGGGCCAACAGTTTGGGTTCCTGCGCAACCTCTTCTCCATGTTTGGCGGCGGCGGCAACGCAGCGCGCTAGCGCAGTGCGTGCGCGTGGGCGGTCAGTGACGATCAAAGTGGGTGGATGTATTCCTCTGGCATACTCGAATCTAAATAACACAGCCAAAAGCGTATGTACAAGGAACGCACACCACCAACATCAGAAGAGAGAAGAACAAACAACACAAGTGTAGAAGGTGACACGGCGCGCACCAACTACAAAATAAAATGACAGAGAGTAGAGCAGAAGAGAAGAGAAGAGAACAGAGCACCGGAGGAGGAGAGAGAACGCGCTGGGGGTAGCGGATCAATCGCAACGCTCCCGCCCACGCGTGTGTCTCTCGGTCCGAGGAGTGAAACGGGCGAGGGGTGGTAGCACTCCACTCAGTTGGATTTCTTGAGGTTGAATTGCTGCTTGGCTTCCTCCATCTTGTCCAACAGCATCTTCTTGGTCTCCGTTGTACGTTTCTGTTTGATGAGAACAGGAGGAGAAGGAGGAAGAGGGGAGAAAGAAGAGGATAGCGCATGTGAGTTGACCGACTGAGTTGATCTCGTGATGTGACGCCGGGTGCGTGCGTGCGTGTTTGTTTGTTTGTTTGTTTACCTTGAAGCTGTCGATCTCGGTCATGACCTTGGTCTCGAGCTCCTTTACTCGGGAGGAGAGCACCGGGCTTTGCTCAATCGTCTCCTTGACGATCGACTGTAGAGCGCCACCATACAGAGCACACGTGAGCCATAGGAGAAAAACTGGATCAAATCGCGCGAGGGCGTGGCGGCTTGACGACGCACCTGAATCGCCTGGGCAGCGCCAGACCGAGGCCGGAGCTTCTCGCCGTAGAGCTTGCTCATGTGCGGCCTGGAAAGTAGTTTGGGTGGGGGGGGGCAAAGCGTGAGCAATCGAGGCCACGAGAGAGCACTCAAGTGCGGTGTGACGAGCGTACTTTTCGACTTTGGCGATGAAGAGCCAGTTGCACAGGTGGGAGAACAGGGCCAGGGCGAACACGCTACCGCTGTTGGCAATCAGCGCCGCTGTTGACGATTAAAGTTGAAGTTGGTAAGCTGTGGGACTTGCAAGAGAGAGAGAGAGAGGTGTGGTGGGCGCGGTGCCACAACGCACCTCCGTAGTAGCCGGCGAAACCGGTGACGACCTCGGGGTTGTTGATGAATCGGTAGATGCCGGTGTAGTACAGCTTGGAGGGCACCTCGTCGATGAAGAAATCGCCGTAGAACCAGCCGAACTCGCCCAGCACCTCGAACGTAGAGACCGAGCTCCACAGGTTGATGCTGATGAGGACGACACCGATCGTCACCTGCATCCAGTAGAAGTTGTTGGTGCGGAGGTCGAACACGTTCTCGGGCACGTCGGCCAGCTTGTAGGCGCAGCAGAAGAAGCTCACCCACGTCATCGTGAGCGAGAGGTTGAAGAGCCTGCAGGACGGAAACGATTTCCAAAATGACGTTAGTAAGGATATGCTGTGTGTGTGTGTGTGTGTGTGCGTGCGTGCGTGCGTGCGTGCGTGCGTGCGCGTTGTGTGTGTGTGTGTGTGTGGTGTGGTCGCGTACTTCTTCCAGTTGCGGAAAGCCTGGCGCTTGGTGTAGCCCTTCTCGAAGTAGGTCGCAATCCAGCCCTTGTCGAACGACTGGCGATAGAGGATGTAGCCCAGACCAAACGAGTGCACGCAACGCCACACCACCGCTTGGCTGCAACGAAAAGAAAAATGAACAACACAGTTCTTCGAGTGTTGGTGTGGAGCGAGAGGTGAAGGCGATGCGTACATGACGTAAAACACAAGGTGGAGATCCATGAACACAGTGATGACGCTATAGAAGAGGATCAACAACATGAATAAATCGGAAGACCTGTGTGTTGTGTTTGTGTGTGTGTTTGTTGATTAAAATGGTAGCACACGTCAGTTGTTGCAGGAGGCAGAATGAAGTTATTGATGTTTGCAAAATGCAGTGAAGATGTGCCACTTACCGAAGAGGGTTGAAGTTGTAGAAGACGATGAGGTCCTTGCGGAAATAGCCGGTCTTGGCACCGTACAGCACCGTTTGGGTCTGAGTGTCCGGGTCTTCCACCATGTCGGGGTAGATCTACATCGCGATGGCCAGATGTGCAAAAGCACGCAACCGCGATGAGCAATGGCGGCGTTTTGTTCGACTCAAAAAGCAAGCGTCGGGCGAAACGGCGCACGAGGCGGGGCGGAGTACAAACCTTCTTGATGTGCGGTGTTTCTACGAGGTTGAGGAAGAAGAGCTGGCAGATGTGGGCGAACAGCGACACGTACAGAATCGTGTAGGACTGGCCGATCAGCGAAGCGCCGTACATGAACAGGTACCTGCGATGTGGCGAATGGATCTCGTTAGCCTGTGCATAGGAATGCGGACGGGTACGCCGGAGGTCGCGGCCTGTCGTACCCCAGCGTGTACATGGGATGCGGGAAGATGGAGAACACGCGGTTGAAGGTGAGGGAGCGCTCCATCATGAAGAAGAAGTCGCCCCAGTCTACATGTGTGACACGCGAAGAGAGAGAGAGAGAGAGTGGTTAGCGAACGAAGTGCGCCAGTGCGAGTGTGGAGGAAGAAGTGTGGCCGTACACCAGGCATAGTCCTCGACGACACGGTAGGCGTCCATTTTAGCCCACACGCTGAAACCGATGAGAGCCGCCCCGGCCTGAAAAAGAAGAGCACGTGAGAATTCGAGTGGAGCGAAGTGAAGGGCACGGGTTGTAGATAAGGTAGGAATACCAGGTACGACAGGAGGACGAGGCCGTCGACTTGGATTTGCCAGGGCCAGTCGGCAAAGACAACGCACAACAGGATGTAGGAGGCGAGATCCATCGCCAGCACGAGGTCCACGAGCAATCGCCAGGCCAGCCACGCGTTGAAGCCCGCCGGACATTGCTGCATGGTTGCGATGCACGACCACAAGAACAGAGTCAGCAAAAATGGCCTTTTTAATAGGAAAAAAAGAAATAAAAATAGATAAATAAATATGTAAAATGAAATGGCAAGCGAGCGACGGAGCTAAACGAGAGAGTAGTACTACTACTACGCACCTTGTAGTCGTAGTCCGACTCCATGTCGGAGGAAATGAGCCTCTTGAGGATGCCGTAGAAGGTGGCGTCGGGGTGGGTGATCTTGGTCCACCACTTGGTGAAGAGCGATGACGTTGATTGCTTGTAGAGCAAATAACCCAATCCCGCATCGTAGGCCAATCGCCAGAACACAAAGAACGCGACGTAGAACTGTGGTGCCGCGAACGCATAAAATCAGCACAAAACGTCTGGGTCCGGCCAAGTCCGAGACCATGCACGCCACGAAATGAGCAAATTGCGTACCCATTTCGGCAGCGGCATAAAGGCCAAGAGGAGGCAGACGCCACCCGCCAGCCACTTGAGGAAGCTGGTAACGCACAGCTTGAAGAACTGCTTCTCAAACGGGTTGGGCGTCTTCGGCACCGGAAACCCTACATTTCGGAATTAAAGAAAATTTGAATTGAATTTCTGATTAAATCGAAAGATGAGGCTGATTGTACGTACGTTCGCCCTCGGTAGTGATGCCCATGTAAATGGCACCTACATTCGAGTCCTTACGATCCGAATCGCTTCGAGCCGCTACCGGGGGCAGCTCCTCGGTCACCTTCCTTTGTCGCAGCGTACTCTCTTCTTCGTTCTCATCATCTGCCCCGACATCGACGTCGCCGTTCTCAACCTTTTCATTGTTGGTGGCAGGGACTGCCTCTTTCGCGGCTTCAAGCTCGGCGGCATCATCTTCCTGCTTCAATTCTTCCTCCGCAATGGGAGGTTGTTGAGTGCCTGCGTCATCTGACGAAGGAGCCAGATCGAGGCGGTCAGCCTCCTCCCCACTCATACTTACGCAGCTGAATCACAACAGAACCAGCGGCACACGAGCAGAGCTACGCAGGCGGTGTATGCGACGACGCGACCTGGCTGACGTGGCCGCAGTCTTAGCCAGTTTCAACTTTCCACATAATTTCCGCAGCCATTTCGTTTGGGACTATCGGCCTTCGGTGAACTATTTGGCAAAATGTTTGGAGCGCTTTGCATAAAACCTTTGGCTTGTTCGAAATTGTCAACGGGCAGCTTTCGCGCCAAAACGCAAGTAGGGGCGTTGGTCGGACTGCTGAGATCGTAGAGAATCGTTACAGACAAGGAGAAGATCTTGAGTGGATTGCGAAGGTTAGAAATCATGGGGAGCAGAAGGGGAACGCTAGCCAACATCACAAATCTGCAGGGGCGACCATCGATGCTTGGTCCTCCGGCGCGGACCAAGCCAGGCGAAGGGGGAGCCGATAAACCCAACCCGCGATCTACCCTGAGCGGATTGCCCCGTCCATCTCTTGTGCCTCGCGCCTCGATCCAGAACCCGAGAGCCTCCCTCATTCCTTCTGCTCGTCCCTCGCTGAATCAGAGCGGCATCCGGCGGCTCAATGCTTCATCTATGGCCGTAGGCGGTCAGAAGAAGGATCCTCGAGATTGGAAGGACAAGGGATTCGTCGTGACGTGCCAGAAGCGCCTGATGAAGTTCTTCTCCGAGTCGGGCTTCCCATATGCGTTGGGTCCCAAGACGCTCACCTCGCCATCGAACAAGGAATTCTTCCAGATGTTCCAATTCCTCTACCAGCGCTTCGACCCCTCCTACAAATTCGGAGCCAAGCCCGAGGATGAGATCCTCCCGCTTCTCACCGGCCTCAACTACCCCTTCAAGATCACAAAGGTGCCCCATCTTCGCCTCGAGCGAATCTGTGGCTTTGGTGTTGGCGTCTAACAACAGACGCCTCTATGGCTCGAACAGAACTCGCTTATCACTCCAGGAGCGCCTCACGTGTGGCCTTCGCTCATGGGCGCACTGTTGTGGATGACCGAGTTGCTGGAATACAGCGATGTTGTGGGCCGACACCAAGACGATGACTTCGGTACGGCCCGTTACGAACATACCTCGTGTGTGTGTCACTGCCATGCTAACGACGTTAGAAAAACAGGCAACGACGAAGAAGACAAAGACAAATGGACATGCACCTTCATCACCCAAGTCTACGGCGCCTGGCTGAATGGTGATGATGAAGAGTTCGACCGCCTCAACGGGGACCTGATCAACTTCTACGGTACGCAGCGCATCTACACTCTTCTTCTTCTTCTTCTTCTTCTTCACGCAATGCCCAAGTCGTCAGCTGATCGAACACGCCTGCGCTCATCTCGTACACAGAGTCGAGAAGACAGATGGAGATCTCGAATGTTGAAAACCTGAGCAACTCGATCGAGGCTCTCTCCAAGGAAATCGAGCAGATCGAGAACGCTCCTGTACGTCTTGTCCTCCTTGTGCGCATCGCTGGCGATCCGTGCTCTGACATGATGTTGTGACTTTCTTTTCCTTGCGACAGTCCCGCATCGACGCTCTGAATCGCAAGAAGGAGGATTTTCTGAGCGACATCAGCAAGTTCAAGAAGTTTGCTGCCACCATGCAAGACCAGAAGGACGCCGTCGTGGCCGCCATCGCGGAGATGAACGGCACCATCGAAGCCGAACGTACGTCGAACAACCCAAATGCCTCTTTTTTGCGCAGAAACGCAGTAAACGCTTTACTGATGCTGCAACGCCGGCGTTGTGATAACAGAGCGCGAGCTGGAGCAGCGCCTGAAGGAGAACCAGGAGCTGCAGACCATCATCGACGCACAGGACATCACGCCCGCCGATGTCGAGAGAATGATGTCTGCCAAGCATTCGCTCGAGCAGTCCTTGCAGCTTCTCTGCGAGCAGCGTGACAGCATCCAGAAAGATGTGTGGACACGGTACGCCGCACCCACCCCAATGCTGCTCATCACTGCGGCACTTGACTTACGCGCGCACACTGTTGCGCCTGGCAGGGAAGTGGAGGTGCAGAAGGCCTCGGATAGCTTGGACCGAGCGATCAGCATGTTCAACGCGACGGCAACGAACCTCCGCCTGGTGGGCGCGTCGGCCAAGTATCCCAAGGACATCATCAGCGACAGCTTCAAGCTCATCACGTTCGCCCCGCACGCGCCCACCGCCGACCGAATGCTCAACTGCTCGATCAAGCAGGACATCAAGCCCTGCCTGTTCAAGCTCAAGGACCATCTGCTCGAGAAGGCCAAGTCGCTCCACGACAGATACATGGACACGCACATGGAATTGGAAGCCATCTGCGAGACCGTGGACGAGCAGCGCGAGAGCGCGAACGCCATCGAGGCCAAGCTACAGCACTCGATCCAGTCCTATCGCACCAACAAGCACTCCATCGCCGAAGCCGCCAAGCGAAGTCGTACGTCAACCCAGACCCTACGCACCACCGCTTCTTCTTCTTCTTCAATAGCTCACCCCTCTGGCCGCACTTTCACAGAGGCCGAGGTGGAGAACATTCGACAGGAGGCCAAGAAGATGCGTGCCGATGTGGCGATGATGTGGGCGCAGAGCGAGCGGGCCGTGGCGGGAGCGGGCGAGACGGTCGAGGAGCACGAGAAGAACTGCGCGCGCGAGAGGGAGGCCATGGTACAGTTCATCACCGAGACGCTCGGCGCGCTGATGGAGCACAAGGACAACATCAGCGACACGTTGGCCGCCCTCAACCAGAGACTCGACGACGAGTTGGCTGCCTGCGAGAGTCTTTGAGAGCCTTTCCTATTTGCTTTGCCTTCTTCTTGCTGTATAATCAAACACACCACTTGCTACTCACTTGCCTCACCCGTAACATTACACATCTTCTTGGTCTAGACGATGTAAAGCCAAGCCAAGGCAAACATGTTGTACAACTTCTTTATGAAGTGAGAAGGACAGACAGGCACACATGTCATGTCCAGTACTTGAGCGAAATGTCATCCAGCATTGCTCTGCGGGCAACTCGCAGCTTGCGCGAGAACGAAGCCGTCCTGTAGGCCGCCAGCTCGGCGTTGATCACTGCACGCACACAGTGTGGGCGGAGTGAAGGGGCAAGAAACACGGTGAGCTGTGTGCGCAGCAAAAGAGAGAGGCGAGACGAGGGCAACTCACGTTTGGAGAGGAAGAAGTCTCGGAAGCTGCGCGGGTCATCCACCGAGAACACGGCCGGCTTTGGTAGCGTGGGTCCGAACAGCGGGACCCCGTCCTTGGCCGTTACCGCCACCCTGTGAATATATGAAGGCCACACCAACCGCGATATATCTCGTGAGCCACCATCGCACAGCCGCCCACGTCAGAACAGGGCGGACCTCAGGTGCGACGCGTTTCCGTTCTCGTCCCGCTTCTCCACACGCACCAGCACGACCACATCTGCACGATGGGGGGGGGGAACGCAGACGGTATGAGCCCACGCACGGTGGTGTTTAAATTTGGGAGAATGAGTGGGTGCGTCGTACGGATGAAGTGGGACTTGATAAGGCTGGGACAATACGATGCGGTCGGGTCGTCCAGGAACACGATCAGCACAATGTCGTTGCCGATGTGTCGCTTCCGCTCGATCTACGCCACACACGCGCGCGTCGCGTTATTTTACTGTCCGGTGTGTGCGTGCGTGTGCGGCGTGTGCTACACGTACCTGTTGGGTATCGTCTGGCGTGTAGGGGAGTAGCGTGGAGACGTGGTACATGATCTGGTTCTCCCGCCACTCCGTGTAGATGGAGTCTGTCCCCGTGATGTCGTTTTTTACATTGAGCCCGCCCGCGAACTTCTCCCACCCCTGCAACCGCACCCGATTTCCCAGCAACTGGAGGAACGTCTCGTAGTCCGCACTCCCCCGCTCTGCGTGACACACCGGCAATCATAAGTCCTTGTGTGTGCTTGTGCGTGTGCCGTGCCGTGTGTGCGTGTGTGTGTGTGCGTACGGTTGGAAAAAAAGTGCTCCTCCGAGTCCTGACCCTTCTGCACCAGCACGACGCCGAATTTGTACTTTCGAGGTCGCTGCACCACCAGAAAAAACAAAGGGTCGTTAGAGATTGCACGCGCGGCTGCAGTTTAGAAGTGTACGTGCGCACCTCTTTCTCTTCGAGGTTGACGATGGCCTGTGGCAGCTGCGGATGGTCGATGTGTTTCAGGCAGCCTGCAAGTGAGCACCCCCAAGCCCTGTCAGCCAGGTCTTCTCCCGCACGCAATGGAGTGAGCCGGGCAAGGTACCAGTCGTGAGCAGGAGCGGGAAGGAGGCCTCCACGACCTTGTGCGCCCACCCGGGAGTGGCCGCTGCCGCGCCCAGCGCACTGGCCGGTACCACCGCCTTCTGGTCACCCTGCAACACGACGGTTACCGTGTGAAATTGTCCAAGCGATTGAGCTAAAATGAAGAACGTGTAACGTACGTCTTGTGTGAGGACCATGATGCTGTATTGGTAGTTGCCGGAATCGTCCTTCTCTCGCTTGGCGGCGGCAATCACCGTGCCCAATGGAGTGTCCACTCCGATGAAGCACGTGTGTTCTGCGAATGGAGTCGCGTTCCCACCAGTCAGACTTCCGTGTGTGCTTGTGTGTGCGTGTGTGTGTTTGTGTGTGTGCGTGCGTGTGTGTGTGTGTGTGTGCGTGTGTGTGCGTGAGTGCAGGAGCGAGTACCGTGTGGGTAGTAATGCTCCTTGTACCAGTTTTGTTGGAGGAAGCTGTAGTAGTTCGCTTCCGTCTGTGTGCCGCCAAGCTGAGTCAGCAACCACGCGCACTCCAGGCACTCCGCGAATGTTAGCCGCTGATACCTTGATGGTGTAGTCGTATTCACATTCGACGGTGAAGCCCTCGCACTGAGCCACCAGTGGCAGCACCGCCTTGAAGCCGAAGCCCTTCCTGTTCTCCTCCTTGACCAGCCGGAGGGAGGAGAGGCTCTTCCGCTTTCCGGTCGTCTTGGTGGTCTCGCCCGCGGTGTTGTCCTGTTCCCACGGCGAGCCGGCCTTGACCCAGCTCAGCCTCTTTTGCCCAGGTCGTTCGTCGCCCGACGACTCGCTCGCTTCCTTCGAGGCCTCACCACCGTCGGTCTGCGATTGGGGAGCAGTGGCCGCATCGTTGGTGTAGTCTGCCGATAGTGAACGCTTGGACAAGTCGCGCCGCCGCTCGTTGCCAGCGTTGTTACTGCTGCCGCTGTTGTTGTTGTTGTTGTTGTTGTTCACTTGACCCTCCTCGCCGCCGGTGTTCTTCTCGCTCTCAACGCCGTCTCCCTTGTTGTCGACCTGGGCGTCGGCGTCGGCTTCGTCCGGGTCGTCGATTCGCGGCGCGATAGCCCTGGCTTCGCTTAGCGAGACTCGCTGGCGGGTCCGCGTGGGAATGGGTGCCGAGCTGGCGATCATGCGCAGGGTCTGGCGCTGCTGGAGATGAGGGCTGCCACCGGGGGAGGACGAGGCCGATGATGAGGCCGACGACGAGGACAGGACCAGGTCCAGCTCGTCCAGGTCGAGATCGAGCGCCTCGCCGCTGGCCACTCGCTCCAGCAGCTTGACCTCAGCCTCGAGCGCGTGTACCTCGGCCTCGAGTGCGTTGAGCGTGTGCACGTTCTCGCGGTCGCAGTGGTATGTGTCGTAGTCCTTGGCGGCCTCGCCGGCCGCGGCCAGCGTCGCCAGTATAGACAGGCGCCGGCGCTCCTCCTTTGGCGCGTTGATTTCGGCGCTGAGGCGATGATGGCGCTCGCTGACTCCTTCGGACATCAAAGAGCCGCTGGTTCGCAGGAGGTTGTTGGGAGTCGCCGCTGCGGCGTCGGTCTGGCCCGGGCTCGTGGGATGTTGTTGTTGCGAGCCGACCACCGCGGTCGAGAGGGGCGGGCTGCTGGGCTCTTTGTGGCGGGAAAGCAGGCGGCTGCTACCGATGCCCACGATCCAGGGCGCCACCTTGGACGGTCGGCCGGTGCCGCGAATGTGGGCCGCGGCGGCGGAGGCGTCGTCGCCGCTGACCGTCGCAGAGCGTGTGCCGACGGAGGCCGACGAAGACAAGCGACTGCGCAGCACTGGCGCGTCCTGGCGCGCGGTGAGGTCCTCCACTTCCTGGTCCTTGAGGGCCAGCTGCAGCTTGAGCCTGGCCACCTCCTTCTCCAACTCCTCGCAATACGACTGGACAAGAACAAGAAACGACCAGGCAGCGGTCAGCGGCCGAGCTATGACGATGTTCTTTAAGTAGTATTGGAGGGAGGGGGGGAGGTGAGAAGGGGAACACCTTGTAGTAGTTCAGCTCGTTGTGCTTCTCTTGAAGCTGCATTTGGACGCTCTGGAGCTGCGTGTTGAGAATCAGTGTGTCTTGCTGCTGCCCCGATTTGTTGAGATTCAGCTGCCCGGTCATGGTACCGCTGCGGCGAAGGGTGGCCACCGCCTCCACGAAGATGCCACCCCCACCGCCCCCGCCCCCGCTACTGTTCATACCGCCCCTTTCGCCCTCGTGCGTGGGAGATGACCTCCCCTTCTTCCCCCACATTTGAGAGCGGCCTATCGATGGAGCTGTTGAGGGAGGCCTCTGATCAAGAAGATGAAGAAGGAAAAACGGGAACGAGAACAGGAAGAGTGGAAAGGAGGAGGTGCTGGCTGCTGCTGGGCGCGGGATGAGGTAATCAGGAGCCCAAGTAGCGAAGGAGGAAAGGAGTGAAAGGTTCAAACCGGGGGCGTGTAGCGCTCCGCGTTGTTGAGGAAGCCAAACGAGACGCCCAGACGCCCACCTCTTTCCGTGCACAGTTGACCAAACAGGCACACAGGAAAGGAAAGGCTAAAAAAAGCTACCAAAACAAAAACTGGAAGTGGGTGCATCATAATACTGATTTAAATCTTGGTCTCGTCGCAGGCCATTAATTCACCTCCTAATCTCTAGTCTCGTCGCGCGGGGCCGCATTCGCAGCAGCCTCTGAGGCCTAAATATTAACCTTGTATTTCCATTGAGCAGAGAAAGCAAAAATAAAAAGGTAAATGTCAAAAAATAAAACGCTAAACGCGAATTTCCAGCTGCACAACGAGGATGGAGCTCGACGATATGGAGGATTCGAACGAGGCGTCTTTGGAGGACTTCCCCAGGGGCACCAAACGAAAGGCGGCCGAAGGCGACTCTGAAGAAGATGATGAGGAATCCAATCCTGGTGCGTACCAGATGATCGCCATCTCAATTGAGTTCCATTTCCTTGTCTAAATGATGGGCACTTTGCAGAGGATTCGGAAGAGGGAGAGGGAGAAGGCGAGGGCGAGGGAGAAGGCGACGAAGAGGATGGAGAGGATGAAGAGTCAGCCGCCAAGAGACGCAAGCTGGCCGAGGCCGAAAGAGCGGAGGAGGAGAAGAAGCACAGAGAAGAGACGACCAAAATGATCGGGTGCGTTGCTGCTGCTCGCATGCAGCGTTTGCAAGCAGAGCGTCTCAACGCGCTGCTGTGCTGCCATTACGGCAACTAACCTCTTCCTCATTCCCTTTCTTGATCCTCCATCGCGCAGTGAGATGATGAAACACTTCACCCCCGAGCAACAGAACCGCTACGAGGCCTATCGACGCTCTGCATTCGGAAAGAACGGAATCAAGAAGGTTCGCACGCACGTGTAACACAAACGCATTCTCGTACCGGTGCACCGTGCCCGTCTCACTTCATGAATGTACAGCTGATGCAGAGCGTGTCTGGAAGCAACGTTAGCCAGAAGACGGCTATCGTGATGGCCGGCGTCTCTAAGATCTTTGTGGGCGAGATCGTCGAAACGGGTACCTGTTCTGTGCTCCGCTGATCAGTTCACATCACTGCCCAGCACACTCTACACAGCGCTCGCAGTGTTTAATTCATCAATCAAGCAATCAATCAATCACACTAACGTTCCACCCGTCTTGTGCTGTGACATTGCAGCGCGCACGGTGATGGAGGAGTGGGACGAGTCTGGACCCATCCGTCCGCGGCACCTGAGGGAGGCCTACCGCCGCATGCAGCTCAAGGGCAAGATCCCCTCCGCCGCCACCTATACCCAGAAGAAGATCTTCCGCAAGTGAGGCCGCGACGACAGCGCTGCCGTGGTGGCTACGCCAACGTTGCGCAAGTGTTGTGCAGCTGTGTGTGCGTGTGCGGTTGCATTCCTTGGATAGTTTGGGCTCTTGGCCTGGGCGATCGGCAATAAAGTGCAGACACGAAGTTTTGATTGTGACGAAGATGAAGTTTGCATTCAATGCCTGGGGGCGAACGCTGGCTCTTGCCGGTGGCTATCGTACGTACTCTCTCTTGGTAGACATTATGCATTTGTCACTTTTATTTCAATAATCGGCTCTAAACACGGATGAACGTAGTGGCCATCAACGGAGGCATCGTCAACTTCTTTTATTCCAATCCGTCTGAGACTCTGTGCACTATTTGCGGTGCCTACTGCGTGTGCCGCCCCCCCCCAACACTTCACTTGTTTATTTATGTATCGTTTTATTTATTTATTTATTTATCATTTTTATTCTGTACCAGTAATCGCACGGCCGCGTGACTGCGTTCTTTCGCGCTACACTGCTCACGCTCACGCTTTGGCATGCACGTGTGAATGCAGGGCCGTTGGGGTCTTGATCTATCTCTTCCTGTATCCGCTTAAGCTTGGCTCCTGGTGGCTTGGTCCCATCCTCTGGATCGTCAACTTCAACCATCTGCCGCTGGGGATTGCCCTCATCCTGTACATGCCACACCCTTCCCCCTACTGCCCTCAATTTCACGCCACTCTTTCCGTATTGTGCTCTCGAGTAAGAGTGGGTGGCTGATGCAACTGCCCTAACTGCCGCAAGCAACAGTATGTCGTCCCACAAGTGCTAATAGTAGCTCTTTCTCTTCGCTTTTCCAGGCTGGGTCCCTTCTGCTCGGTAGTGGTACCAACGGTGCTCGCCGGGGTGACCATCGTGCTGGCTGGACTCTTCTACGTCGTTGCCGGAATCAGGTGAAGTGTGCTTTTGCGCACGACTGTTGACTTCCCTTTGCCGCCCTGACACATGACCAACCGCGTTCACCTTGCGTGCAGGCGAGAGAAGGGCACTCCGCTCAAGGAGCTCATGTGGAACTGTGGCGATGACCCGAAGTCCAAGGGAGGCCGCGAGTAGTCAGCCCCTGCGGTTCATCATTCTTGTAATTATCTCATTTTGTGTTTATTTGACTTCGTAAAGCCCGCCATTTCCGTCTCCCGCAACGAACGGGCAGACGTTCTGCCTTCATGTTTGTCCGGACTTGCTGACTTAGCGCTCGTCGGCGTGGTTGCCGGGACGGGGGAGTTTATAACGAGTTGCTTTCGCCAGAGAGGGGAAAAAACAGGGCTTGGCCAGCGCGGGAGTGGTCGTTACCCCAATAATTTGTGTCGACAGGTAACGCTGCGAGGATACGGTCGCCCACCACACAAACAAAGTGACGCCCAGGAAGCGAACCACTGTGCGACCTCGAGAGTGTGCAGAGAGAACCAGCAACCAGAGGCGCGTAGGAAGCAGCAAGAAGATGAAGAAGATCAAGGGAAAGGATAACGCGAGGGATGGGAAGGAGAAGGATGTGGCGGGCGACAACGGGAGCACGGCCGAGCTGGCGAGGTTGCAGGCGAAGGACCCAACAACGTGGACCGTTAGCGAAGTGGGCAAATGGCTCGATTTCATCGAGCTGGGCCAGTACAAACTCATCTTCATCGAGAATAGCATTTCGGGTGCTGAGTTGTTCGAGCTCGAGGCTGAGGACTTGGCTTCCATCAACGTCAGACAGCTCGGCCACAGGAAACGCATTTTGAAGCGAATTGCGCAATTGAAGAAGAATTCCAAGGCCGCCTTCCAGGCTCGCTCCGAGGATGGCAGCAGCGATTCGTCGAGCGGCGATGGCGCTTCATCTTCAAACGATCCCTCCTCGCGCGCCTCGTCATCCAAGACGGGGCGAGGGGCGTCATCGACGGCTTCTTCCGCCTCCGATGAGCAGATGCTCAAATGCTTCTACGGCGAGGATGTAACCGTGCTCAGGGTGAAGAGGGACATAACCTTCACCAAGCTCAACTCGAAGCTGAAGGCTGAGTACAAGAAGGACATGGAGGTTGCCTACAAGGACAGCGACGGCGACGTCATTCCCATCACCAAGTCGGCGCATCTCAAGGCTGCGATGAAGGAAGCCGACGGCCGAGCTGTTCGACTGCAGCTCAAGCCTCGCGACACTGTCGGCGTCGATGGCGCCATTAACGCTAGCGAGATTTTGCTGCTCGACAATTTCGTCGACGGCTGCATCCTCATCAACAGACGCGGCGTCATCACCTTCTTCAGCGCTGCCGCCGAGAAGCTCTGGGGCTACACACGTCGCGAAGTGCTCGGCAAGCCCATCAAGATCCTCATGCCCGAGCAGGGTACCTCCCCCCCTTCGCCACTACGCCATCACTATGCGCATCTTTCCATTTGCGGTTCTTCTCGAGGGGATTCCCTATTTTGTGCGAGTTTGTCTCGTTACTTCTTTTCTTCATCTCTCGCGAGCTTGGACACGTGTCGTTGTAGACGCTGATCCATACGTTCTCTCCTCGTGACTCATGCAGTCGGTCGCCAGCACGATGAGTACCTGAAGAACTACCTGGCCTCGGGTGAACCCAAGATCTTGGGCAAGCCCCGTATGGTCATCGCCGAGAGGAAGGACAAGTCGACGTTCCCCATCTTCCTGTCCGTAAGCGAGCTCAAGGTCGACAAGGGCAAGGAGCGTGTGTTCATCGGTACCGCCAAGGACATGTCCAGCGTCAAGGCCGCCTCTCAGTCCAGCGTGTCGGACGGTACTACAGGCCTCCCTTTCTCTCGTCCTTCTCGTTGGTTCTTCTCACTCTTCTCCTTCTTGTTTGAGCGCAGGAGCCATCGACTTCAGCATCCTAGACAACATCCTCGACGTCGGCATCGTGATTAACGAGAAGGGCCTGATTCACTTCTTCAACAAGAAGGCCGAGGAGTTCTTCCAGTGGAAGAGAACCGAGATCATCGGTCGCAACGTCAAGATGCTGATGCCCAGGTACCTGCTTGCCCCCCCCCCGCCAGCTAACGCCTTAAACTTCAACTCACGTCATCTCTTCTTCTTTAACTGCGTGCAGTCCGTTCAGCGATGAGCACGACAGGTACCTGTCCAACTACATGAGCACCGGCGAGGCCAAGATCATCGGCTTGGGCAGAGACGTGATCGCACAGAAGAAGGACGGTTCGATTGCGCCCGTCCACCTGGGCGTGACGGAGCAGGGTCTGGAGGGCAACAAGTTCTTCACCGGCATCCTGCGTCCCATCGTCGAGGAGAAGAAGAGCGACAAGACGATTCTTCAGGAGGAGCGCGAGGTGATCGATAATCTACTCATCCCGGCCATCATCATCGACGAAAAGGCCACCATTCACGGCTTCAACAAGACCGCCTCGGAGCTGCTCGGCTTCTCGCTCATCGAAGTGGTCGGCAAGAACGTCAAGATGCTCATGCCCAACCCCGACAAGCAGAGGCACGACGGCTACATCAGCAGCTACCTGAGGACCGGCAAGGCCAAGGTACGCTCGTCGTCGCCTTCCCCTCCCCTCGCGCCAGTGTCACCATTGTACTGACGAGGGTTCGTCGATTCATCCCTTTATGCAGGTGCTCGGAACTGGTCGGGACGTCGTGGCCCTCCACAAGGACGGCACCATGTTGCCTGTGCGCTTGTCGGTGACGGAGAGGAGGGACGGCGAAAAGAGAATCTTCACGGGCGTTTTGCAGAAGCTCTAGATGCCCAGGTGCCACCCCGCTCTCTTCCGACGTTTGACGACAACACCTCTCGCTCACGTGACTCTACTTTTCTGCTTTTCTGGTTCTCCAAAATGCCTCCAGAGAGTGCTGGATTCGCGGGTGTAATGTAGGACGGAGAGCGCCATGACGACGTAGGTACCTCAAGCAAGTCAACTCAAAGCCAGAGAAAGGATAAGGAGAAGTGGAGAGTATGTCCATGTGCAGTGAGTGTGGGTGTGTGCCATGTAGGAATGTCATATATAAAGGACAAAGCTTCTTTTCTTCCTCTGTCTCTTAGGAGCTTGTTAGAGTCCAGTTGGTCTTGTGCAACAATACAAGGCCTGTGGCAGGAGCAGTGCTTCAGGTCATCACTGATGAGTTCTGTGTATTCACCAACAGTCCTGCCCAACGCCAACACTTCTGGCACTTAGTGGCTTGGTTGGGGCGCAGTTGCAGACCATACCCTGTCACTTGGGTTTGGTTGTAAATGTTGAGGTAGTTGAGAGAACAAGCATGCTTCCTCTTATGCTAGCCAATCTAAGAGAACAAGCATCCGTGGTCCAGTGGCAAGATTTCCGCCTGCCACGCGGGAGACCCGGGTTCAATTCCCGGCGGATGCATATCTTTTTGCCCCCCCCCCTTCATTCACTGCATCTCTCCTGTGCTGCAACATTGGCCCCCACATCTTTCTGGGCCTAAAAGTTTTATTTTGGTGGGACCACCTTTTAAAAGGATATTAACCTCACTTCTCACTAATTGCTTTTACTTTACTGTTTTTGCCACATGGTTTGCAGGTGTAAATTCCAGCAACCTTGCACGTTGAGTAAGTAATTCAACATGTTGGGTACACAGCCCGAAAAAAAAATATGCAGAAAAACGAATCAGCACCCCTCCTACATCTCTGTTAGAGACAAAAATTGAGTTGGAGGAGAAGGGTATCGATCCCTTTACCTCTCGCATGCTAAGCGAGCGCTCTACCATCTGAGCTACACCCCCGTTACTTACATTATGACTCACAGTGGCCCAACATTACAAACATATCATTCATTTACCAGGACTAATATATCTCCTAAAAGCCCATAACGGGAAGAGCCTGAACACATGGGCCTCCATCACAGTGGTCAGCGAGTTGTAGGTGCTCAATCTCAAGGGCCTGTAGGTGTGATGTGATGACCTTCTGCTGCTCAGCATCCAGGTCTACTGTTGCTCCACATGCACACCTGAAGGAGGATAGGAGGAGGAAATTAGACATCTCCCCCGCCGGGATTTGAACCCGGGTCGTCCGCGTGACAGGCGGAAATGCTAGCCAACTACACCACAGGGGACAATGTGCTTTGTGGCAGAGTGTCAACAGCTGCCAGGTTTTTTTTTTGAAGGGGAGCTCAAGTACTTGCCACTGATGGGGAGCTTGGACATTGACAGCCCCTTCTGGGGTCACAGTTGGTTGGTGCTCACAATTCTTCCCCTTCACAGCAAGCTTGGTGATAAGCTGAAGGCACATATGGCTTTTTACCAGCCCCAATCTCACCATCTTGTTTCCACAGGTCTCCATGAAATCTCTAGTTTCCTTTCATGCTTTTTCAATCCAAACTTTTATTTGTGTCTGTGTCACTCCTTTCATCCACAGCCAGCCCAACAAACACTCACATTGGGGCTACAATCCACATGATGGTGGTGTGAAGTTGTATCTTTCTTCCAATTCTCTGATCCAGGGTGTAACAGAGTGGCATAGTGGTCACCAAAATGTTGCTAACAATCATGAAGTACACAAACTGCTCTGCTGAAATGCTCATGACATCTTTCACCATTTTTTAATCTCCAATTCTTGCTGGAGCAAAATCTGCACCAATGTGGAAAAGGGTTTAAAAAACATGACCTGTTATCACCCAAGATTCCGTGGTGCAACGGTAGCACGCAAGCCTAACACGCTTGAGGTCGCGAGATCAACACTCGCCGGAATCATTTTACGAGTGAACAATTTGGGTTTTGGGACAAGGCCCAAGCCTGGTGTGTGGTATTTTTTGGTTTGTGATAAACCAGACACAAACCAAATTTGGAAAAAACAAGCAAAAAAATTGAAAAACCTAAAAGGTAAGTTCTTTCTGACACAAAATAATGAGAAACAAATCCAGTGCATGTAAGACCAATAACTCCACTGGAAGGGCTAACCACCATCTCCCTTGTGGGAAGATAGGTGTCCCAATGGCCTGGTTGTTGTGTAACTCCCAGACTCACATCCACACACCTACTGGACCTTTTCAAAATTTGACTTCCAGCTGGCTGGCAGCAAAGTGTAGCCACTGTATCACACCAGCATTTCTCAAGTTTTCTTTAATGGAGAAAGTGTGTTTAATTTGCAGCTCATGGCAGGCACAGAGAGGTCATGACCAGGAAGATGACTGGACTGAGGAGGAGGTGGAAGAGGAACACCTGCAAAAGAGAGAAGGGAGGAGGAAGAGGAGAATGGAGGGCAACAAGTTGAGGAGGAAGGCAGAGGTGCAGGAGAAAGGTGGAGAAGGAGTACTGAGGGAACAGAAAGATGGCAGATTGGCAGATTGTTCTGGGACACAGAGGAGGAAAATGAGGCATTGTCAGAAGCCAATTGCTGAGGCTGAGGTAGGCTTCAATCCTGCTTGTGCTGAAGATGTTGCCATTGCCCATGCCACCTGCCCAGCCAGAACTCAGGTAGATCCTGGCAGTAGAGGCTCTGCCAGTGTCATGGCTGGCCAATCTTGGTGTGTGTGTTGTATGTGGAGCTGATTGCTGCAGGGAAGCCAGGGATGCTGTTGTGGGGAAGAGCACACTTGACTTGATCTGGCCAGGAAATCTTGTCTCAAAATCTCAAAATTTGATCCAGAGAATTGGCAGAATGTGTTGGATCTACTCCATGAGGGTGGACATCAACATCTTCGTGGGTGTGACCTACAATCAAGAAGCTGAAGACAATCTCCTTGAACACATCAAGTGCTGTGAGCAAACTCTGTTATCATCACCCTTTTTTCCAACCTTAACAATCATCTCAGCTCATACACCCCAGGCTCTCCATGACCACACACCCTCTATTTGCAAGCTGATAATTGCTATGCTGAGAACAAGAATACTTACATCTTTGCTTTCCTCAGCCCTTAGGCCATGCAAACTGAGGGTGAAGTGGGATAAAGTGGAAAAGTGGGAATAGCTCCTATATCCCATAAAGAGAAACTGCTCATGGGAGCTATTATGGGAAGTTAATCTGTGTGGTCATTTTTTTAATTAGATGGGCACACAGAAGCATGACAAGAGGTATCTGCTGTGGCTGGCAATAAGGGCAGCACTGGCTGCTGTGGCCATCACTGACCCCATGGCGAAGTCACTGGGTCAGGACATCCTTCTGGCCATTTCCTGGTGTGGGTCACACCTTTTCTGAACATATTCCCACGCCACATGGCACATGTTCTGTAGGAATGACAAGGAAGTGTTTTTTCCAGGAGAACACACATGGCCAGATGGCAGAGGCCACATGCAGAGGGGCATGTTGGACAGGGCCAGGTGGTGGGGGCCAGGTGATGGGTGGGATCTGGTCCATGGTCCACATTATGGGCTCAGTATTCCCAGACATCACATTTCACAAGACCACCCAGATTTGCACATGTGGCAGAGTCCAACTTAGCCATGTGGCAATATCACACCTGAGGAAAACCCTGAGGGAAATGGGATTTCCCTACAATTACCACCAGAGTTAACTCTCCTATATTATACATTACCAAGGGGTAAATAAAGGACTTCTTCTTACACAACAAGGGTGAGGACCTCCCTGAGGCCCATCTACTTGAGACCCAGCTGGTCTAATTCCCCTACACTCCTACACACAACAACAGCTCTTGATTTGTACATTTCAGTCTCAACCATTTCTCTATCTGCAGGATCTGCACAAAAGCTGAAAAAATGGCACTTTTGCACAGTCTTCTGTACAGAAAAGTGCATTGTTCCCTTACAAAAACAAGTCACTGACCCTTTTTCATGAACACCTGGTTTAATGAATGGAACTGGTACAGCTGCACAGATTGCCAGATGTGCACACTCAAGTCTTGCCAGCAGCGCTGTCAACAACATCACCACTAACTGCCAAGTGCAAGATCAAGCAGCAGTTGAGGGTGTGAGCATGCACAAGCCCAAGGGACGTAACATTCCAAAAAGTTAGTTGCCCACAACTCTTCAGTATTAATCTGAAACAACAAGCATCCGTGGTCCAGTGGCAAGATTTCCGCCTGCCACGCGGGAGACCCGGGTTCAATTCCCGGCGGATGCATATCTTTTCCCCTTTTCATTCAATGCATCTCCTGATGCTGAACCATTGCCCCCCACATCTTTCTGGGTCTAAAAGTTTTATTTTGGTGTGACCACCTGTTCTTTCCCATTCTTAGAGGCACTTTCCAATTAAGGATGCCTGTCCAAAATCTATATTAGAATCTAGATACATTCAAAGGGTGGGGATGACATATGGTCTTCAGGCTCCTCCCACCACTGGTCAGCCACCTCATTGTAGAACTGTGTAGTGAGCACAATCTTGCCTGGGGTATTTGGGGATTGTGTCAGCCAAGTGCACTCCAGCAAACATCTTGTGCAGGAACAGAGAGCTACCAACAGACTTGCCAGATTCAATGAGCTTGTGGGCATCTGCCACTTGCTCAATGGGGAAGGCTGTGATGGGTGGGACCACAAGCCGCCCTTCTTTGAGCCATGCCAGCAGCTGGCGGAACATGTCTGCCAGAATTGCCTTCTTGTCAAACATGAAGCTCAGGTTGAATGCCAGCACTGACTTGTTCTCCTCTGTCATTTTCCTGTGGGCCACCCAGGCGCAATATTTTGTCAGTGAAAGCACACCACTAAGGACGGCATCCTGTGGGGTTTGGAGGTGCACGCACAGTGGATCAAACGAGGGTGTCCAGAGCCAGTCGCGGGCGAGCTTGAGCCAGTTGGGCTTTCCGCCCTGCTTTGGAAGCATTGTGTGGAAGCCATAGATCACCAACTTGCCACCTGAACGAGTCATGAGCAGACGGTCAGTGGTGATGGTCATCAGTCCAGATGCGTCACTGGCTTCTCAACGCCTCACGAGAAGCAAGTGGCGGTACCGCAGGAGAGGTGGTTGTAGGACTCCTTGAGGGTTTCCACGCCATTCGCGTCAAAGACCGCGTCGTAGCCCTCTGGCGAGTACTCGCGCGCTTTCTCTGCGCAGAAACTAGATTAGTTTGAGTACAAAGACAAGGTCTTGTTGTTTGTGCGGTGCCTGCGTGCGGTACCCCAGAGGTTTTCTTTGCTCTTGTCGATGACGTGGTCGGCTCCGAGGTCGTATACGGTCTGCACCTTGTGCGAGGAGCCCACAACACCAACCACCTTGCACCCCGCGATCTTCTTGCCGAGCTGCACCAGCGAACTTCCCTGTCGTTTCCAACCACACCATCAACGAATGTGACGTGCACTTCACACACACACACACACACACACGCACACGCACCGCCGCACACGCGCCCATGAGAGATAACGAACCACGCCGCCGGCGGCCGAGTGAACGAGGAGCGTCTGCCACGAATGTGGGTGCACCAATTCGAACATGGCGTAGTAGGCGGTGAGGAAAACCGAGGGCACGCCCGCCATCTGCGTGAACGAGAAACCTGTTGGGTCCGACCAGACAACGTATAACGTGGCACACGACACGACACGACACGACACGACACGACACGACACGACACGACACGACACGACACACAGCACCACACGATGTGGGGTGTGGAGGATGAGCTCACTCGGGCAAAAACTCGGGCAAGCGGCCGGTACCAGAGGGGATGGGGAAGAGCTGGTCCTGCGGCACCGTGATGTGCGAGGAGTAGGCCCCGAAGCGCGTGACGCCCACCACGCACTCGCCCACCTTGCGCTCCGTGACCTCCGCTCCCACCGCCACAACCCTGCCCGCGAACTGTTCTCCGCAATCATCAACGCTGCAGATGAGCTTCGGAGCATCACGTGTACGCCCTGCACAAGGCACATACCTCAAAGCCTGGCCACAAATCGTGCACGATTTCCAGACAACATCAGATCCATTTACGCTACACGATTTCTTACATTCAAGAAGAACGAAGTGGCCGAGGGAAATACCAGGGGTGATGGGCCAGCCAACGTAGCGGGCGGCAGAGGCGTAGAGGCCCATTCGGACGCACACATCGGCGTAGTTGACGCCCACCGCTACAGCCTCTACGCGCACCTCGTCCCCGCCCAGCGTGGGCTCCAGGGCTGTGGCAGCATCCAGGTGCACCACCTGCAGCTGCTCATACCCACCCGCACGATCGATGACCACCCGTACCACCTCGTCTTTCTCCATCTGCTTGTATTTGTATTTTTATTTTTATTTTGCAGGTCAACCAAAAGCACACCTGGATTGCTTTCTACGGATCTGAGATTAGAGAGAACAAGCATCCGTGGTCCAGTGGCAAGATTTCCGCCTGCCACGCGGGAGACCCGGGTTCAATTCCCGGCGGATGCACATCTTTTTGCCCCCCTCCTCCCCCTTTTCATTCACTCATCAAGTAAGAAGAAGATGACCCGCCAGCATCTGACCCCAACCCAGAGAACATGAGCGGGTTCTGGAGCAGGCAGGATACACTACATAAACGCAGTGGGTGAGAAAGGGAGATGCAGAAAAATGTACATTCACTCATCAAGTAAAGACAGTCCATCAGTTGAAGACAAAGCCTGAGGCACCACAGTGAACGGCAATGGTGAGGCATCGCAAGAGCTGCTCTTCGTTCTCATAGGCTGGGAGCTTCAACAGGTTGAAACTGCAGATAGAAATGTGGTGAGCCAAATGGTGTGGGGCACTCACCACCAGCAGGGCCATACCAGGTGGAGGCAGTGGGCAGCTGATTGGGCTTCTCAAGCACCACCTGCGCGATTCCAAATTTCTGGAGGGCACCCAGGCCGCGCAGCTTGGCAAAGCCGCCCAGCGGCACACGTCCGCTCCCCGTCACAAACTGTAGGAGCATTGCCACCTCTGACGCACCACATTGTCGCACATCACAATGATGAGACACGGTGGTCGTGAAGAGCAGACTCATAACGCGCGGTACCTTCAGCGTTGAGTTGCGACTTGACCGCGTGCCAGAACCACTGGACTTGGGGCGATTGGGCGGTGTAGCCGGCCGAGTACTCCGTGTGCGCCTCCCAGTCCGTCACGTCGATCGCGCGTTGTCCGCTGATCAGCAGCTCTATGACCCCAAAAGCCAACAAAGATAAAAACATACAATAAAGATGAGAGATTTCAGAATTTTTAACCAGGTCTATAATTATTGTTATTAGTCGTATTATCAATAATAAGAAAAAGAAGAGGAAAAAAAAGGAGTACCGAGTTCGTATTCGTTGAAGACGGGGAGGAGAGCGGGAGGCACGATTTGATGGAAGCCGTCAAGGAGGGCCTCCATCTGCTTGCCGATGGACTTCTGCAGCTTCAGCTCCATCACCAGGCGCACGTACTCCCTCTTGTTGTCCTCCGACACGGGCACGTCGCGGCCGTTCGGGACCAGCTCCACGGCTTCCACCATCCCAAAGTTGTCGGCGTCCGCCTCGAATGTGAGGCCGAGATCTGCTTCGTCGATGTTGTTCTCCAGAATCCACTTCAGATTCCTGTGTTCCAGTAACGCACACACTCACGCGATGAGCGAACGACACACACAACACACAACACGCAATGGCGTGGAGGGCGTCACTTGTGGAACTGCGGGTCGAGGGAGAGCAGGTCGTCGAGCTCCACCGGCCGGCCGAGCAGGTGTTTGTAGAACCCACGCGTGAAGCACACCTCCACCACCTCCTCGTGAAACAGAGCCATACCTATGCTCGTGCCGTGTTGCGTGTGCGTGCGTGTGCGGTGAATATATGAATAGCGCACAGAGAGCGGTAGCACTAATGGGCCAATACCGATGAGACGCCCGGCGAAGTGGAGGTAGGAGAGGTGGTCGGCGTTGACGTGCGAGTGCGGGTTGGGCTGCAGCGCCACGCCCTCGGCCGATTGCACGAACAGCGCGTTGTCCGGATTGAACAGCTGAACGCAGTGAGAGGCCCGTGTGAGCACCACCAAAGGCCCGTGGCCGATCGAACGCAAACACAACACAACCAAAGCGGCGCAGGGCGCACCTCCTGGGAGATGGCGTGGAACCACTCGCGACGCACGCCGGCGCCGACGCCCTCCTCGTTGAGGAACCCGACGGTGAAGTGCCCGCGCAGCGCCTCCGGCCCCTCGTGTAGCAGCGCGCTGCACGAATCCTGCAGCAAATCTGCAAGCGCGCAAGGGTCAACCTGAGCCGCGAGCAACGAACGCGCGTGCGCTTGTATCGCGTACCAGTTCGGGAGACGCGCAGGTCGGTGGTGTGGTTAGCATAGGCTGTGCGCAGCTCGTCGAGGCGCCGACGAAGCCAGGCTCGCTTGCGCTCGAAACCCAGCGTGTCGATCAGCTCTGCATGTGCGACCGGTGAGCAGGCTGGCCAGCTGCAATCGAGTGGTGGAGAGGGGAAACCTTTGAATCGCCATTCGGGGTGGGTGGCGACGCTCTCGAGGATAAACTCGAGCGAGCCGACGAGCTGCTCGATGTTCTCTCGCCCCACGCCCCTGATCACCTCGGCATGCCGATCTAGCATCGAACGCGCGGTGGTAAGCGCGTTGTGTGTGCGTGGTGGCGCGCGTGCGGGTGCGGGTGTACCGATGAAGCGCACGAATCGGTCCATGGCAGGCGACGTCAGCTGGTGCTGCTCGGCATCGTAGCCGTCAGCTTCGCCTTCCTCACTGTCTTCGTCACCGGCGGTCTGCTCCTTGCCTCGGCCCTCGGTCGGTCGGATGGTCAGCGTCGGCTCGCGCTCTTCGGCCAACGCGGAGGTAAACGCCGGGTCCGGGATATCGTTGGAGCACACCAGGTAGAACCCGTCGATCAACGGACACACGCGCTCGGCCAACTCCTTGGTAAAGAGGCTGCTCGCCGCCACTCGCTTCGCCTCCTCGCCTCCATCGCCACCATCTTCATGATGATCATGACCGTAGCTGTCGCGTTCAAGTTCGTCATCATCATCGCCATCGTCACTGCCGGCCTTGGCCTTGCCCGACGATCGCCGTCGCGCTCGTCGCGAGTCTTCGCCGCTCTCCGGCTCCTCTTCCTTACCTTTGTCCTTGTGCGGCCTTGCCCGGTGGATTGCCGCGGCGGAGCGCTCGGCGAGCTGACCCATGCAGCGGTCCAGCTGCAGCCACACCTCCTCGAGGCACTCGGCCGCGCGTGAGATTGCGCGCTCACGCTCTTCGTGGTCGTTGTACGACGCCTCCCTTGGTCATGCGCGATGAGTCAATAGTGAAACACCACACACGCACACACGCACACGCACACACGCACGACACAACACACACACACACACACCAACGCAAGCGAGAGTGTGTTACTTTTGAGCGAGCCGGATGGCAGTGATGAGGGACACGAAGCGATGCATGGCGCGGGTGCACAGGCCCGAGAGCTTCGACACCGACAGCGACCCGGTCGAGGCCTTGGCCTTCTCGTCCAGCAGCTCCGTAACTAACACAACCACGTGGCCGACGACAAATGCCGCTTAGCTGGACAGCCTTCTTAAGCGGGTCGAGGTGGGTGCTACTCGTACCATCAGCGAATCGCTGGGCCTCGTCGGGACTGAGGTCGGCGTGGTGCAGCAGGCGCAGGCCGTACCACACGGCGAGCCGGGCCAGCAGGCGCAGGAGGGCATCGAGATAGGCCGGGGTGGTGATGGCCACGTGGTGCAGCACCGAGTTGACCCGCTTGTGGACCTCGGCCTCGCCCAGCATCAGCCGCAGGTCGCGCGGGGGCAGCGCACCGGTGGTCGTCGTCGTAGTAGTCGCTGTCGCTGTAGTTGGTGTCGACGACGAGGGAAGCGCAGGAGATGAGGAGGCTGAGGCGACAGAGCGGCGGAGATAGGGAGGGGACGATAAAGAAGAAGAAGACGAAGACGAGGACGACGACGAAGATGACGACGACATCTGACCGCCGTCGGGCGACGATTGGAAATCGGTGGCTGCGGCCGGAGTGGTGTCAGGTTGTTGTGACGCTTGGCTATCGGCGGCGGTGACGGCGGCGGTGGCGATGGGAGGAGGAGGGACGAGCGGCGCGGTGACGAGCTGGTGGTCGAGGCGCGCGACGAGCTGGAGCAGCTGGGGCAGGAAGAGCCCCGGGTCGCGCTCCACCATCTTCAGCACGAAGTCCTTGTGGCCCATCTTGCAGGCCACCTGTACGGGCGTATCACCGTCGTTGTTCTTCTCCAGACCCGTAATGCCTCCGCTGAGCAACAATCGCTGTGTACGTGTCGTGCCGTGTATCATTGTATCGATCGTGTGCGGTGGTGCGCGTGTGGTGTTAGAGATCGGGTAGCAAAAAAAAAGTTGGGTATCTTCTCGATTTTGCGTGTCATCCTTGCGCAGGGGCCATGCTAATCTTCTCTGTATCGTTCCAATTTTAACAGATGGAGCCTCCCTTTCGGGAGGTCCGACCTTGAGAAAGCCCAGAGAGCCGTTTTGAAGGGCCTCTCGTGGACCCGCCCAAAACTTGTGGGTCGGAAAAATTTCAGCTTTTTCAAATAAATATGAATTAAAAAATAAAATAAATATAAAAATCAGACGGGGTGAGGTACGAGGCAAACGACACTGCCGTTGATGGCTGCGCGATGGAGTACTGAGTTGCCGTCTCGGTCTCGGAAGCTCACGTCGGCGCCGTTGGATAAGAGCAGCGACACCGCATTGTAGTGGCCTGGTGCCGGCGCACGCCACGAGTCCATCAGTGCCACACCCACAGCGCGAGAAGCGCATCAAGCCAATAATCAATGACGAACCGTTGTTGGTGGCGGCAAAGAGAGGAGGCCAGGCCAGATCTGTGAGCCCGTCCACCGCTGCTCCCATGCTGATGAGCTTCGAGACGCAATCCAGGCGCCCATTCGCAGCGGCCTGAGCAGCGGGTGTATGCCCGATCAGCACGACACGACACGACACGACACGACACGACACGACACGACATGACACGACACGACACGACACGACACGACACGACACGACACGACACGACGCCAGAGCACTTGCCTGGTGGAGGGCAGTCCAGCCGGTGGCGTTGGTTTGGTTGATGTTGGCCCCGCACTCGAGGAGCGCTTGCACCGCGGCGAGCTGTCCGTTGGTCGCCGCCACGTGCAGCGGGCTGTCGCCCGATGCCTCCGTGCACACGTTGACGTCTGCAACAACAACAACAACAGACCTAACAGTGAGCGAGCGAGTACCACAAAGGTTGCTACTAATTGAATCGTACCGGCCCCGTGCGCCACCAGCACTCGGATGCACTGAGCAGCGCCACCGCGCGCCGCATGATGCACCAGGGTGCCCGTGCGCCTGGGCTTCGTCAGCGAAACTGAACCGACGATGGTAGGTGGCGATGGTGAGTGTAAGTGCCGCGATGGTGGTGCGTGTGATTGAAGGAGAACGGGAGAGTGGTGGTACAGCTCGGTTTCCGCTGGCGGATGACGTGGAGGTACTGGTCGGCTTCCTTGTGCTGGTTGCTGATGACGAAGAAGAAGAGCCGCTCCCTGAGCTCGCGGCTTGGCATGTCCGCCAGCTCCCGCGCTGCGATGTTTTTCCATACAAATAAATGTAAATGATAAAATGACTTTTAAAAAATTAACTAAATTATATATACATTAAAATAAATGGAATGGTACCGGAGTGGAGGGCGGCAGCACGCTTGCTCCGGCTGGCGACCCAGCTGCTTGCGGCCCAGAACGCGAGCCCCAGCGACGCAACCACCAGGAGGAGGTAGGTGCCGACACCCTCCACCAATCCTTCTTGCCCCTCGGCAGAGGTGTCGGGCGCCACCGGCAACCGCGCGTCCATCTGGCTTAGGTTTTGTTTGTTACTGTCGCCCTCCTTGCCAGAACACAACACAACAAACTAAAAGGTTGCGTGATAACCTCTTTAGCTGAATAGGCAAAAATGAATAGAAATACGAAATAGATTAAAATATAAAAATTAAAATAAAAAATAAATATTTTAATTGTCGTTTCATTTTCGCGGCAACAGACCGAAGGAAACTTCAGTAGAAGCAACAACCACGACCGACACGAAGACACGAAGGCCCAACCGAATCGATCCAATCAAGGCTTCAATTGATAGAAAGGAACCCAGCTTTGTGAATAGATCAACACAACAACAAATGGAAGCCATCTTGCTCGGCGCTGGCGTGGGGCTTGTGAAGGCGATCGAAAGCGGCCTCGCCGCCCGTTCCGTGTCCCAGCTCTTTGGGGTCATGGACAACATCGTCTCCCACCCCCTCCTCGATGAGGAGCTTGACAAGGTTCTGCTACTTGCATCTTTACATACAATTTTTTTGTTTGTCTGCTGACGTGTCACGCTCTGCAGTTGGACATCGTGCCGATGCTGCAGACCGTGGGCGCGCTGGTGAAGGACGTACCGGACGACCTGAAAGCCGACGAGGCGGCTGGCATCGCCCTGAACAACATTGTTGACATGCTCGACAAAATCCGTCTCACCCTCGAGCGCCTCAACAAGGAGACCGAGTACCACAACACCCAGCGCTGGTACGTCCATCTTGAACCTTGCCTCGTGTCGCTGGTGCGAGTGCTGCGGGTATGAGAGCTGAGCTGACCTGTTGACAATCGATTGCGCGTGAGTGCAGGCTGGCCTCGCTTCGCAGCCCACAGTACGATCTGGACCTGGCGAAGCTGCGCACGTATAAGACCATCTTGGAGCAGAGGATCGACCTCTTCATCAAGATTCTCTCCCTCCAGAGGTTCGGCTTTCGACCGCGGCAAACCGCACACGCACACGCACACGCACCACCGCACACGTGTGCTAAACCGTGTCGGTTCGATGGTGCAGAACGGGACCTGCGCAGGGCAAGAAGAAGGCGGTGACCATTCCGGCAGCTGAAGCGGTGGTGGAGGTCGAGATGAAGGCCCCCACCGAGGAGGACATTGACACCGACCTCACCATCATCCCCGATTCCTCCGAGAGGCTCTGAAGTTGACGCACACACCGCGCCCGTGTTGCCTACCAGCCCCCACTTTCTATGTACAGACATGCACAGCTTCATTCTCTTCTCTCTATCTTCCTCTCACACGCTTCTGTCTGGTCTCCTGGGATCACTCAATGTTCATGGTCCGGTGGTGGGCTCGAGCTCGCTCTCTTCTCATGCGGCCTTGCTGCTGGCCGGCGCCAGCCTGACGGCAGAACCGTAGCACATGACCTCCGTAACGTGGCCCGACATGCACTGGTACTGCACGCGCACAATAGCGTCCGCGCCCAGCTCCTGCATTAGCGGGGTGGGTGGGTAAGAAAGATGAAAAGAAGATCGGCCTTCAGTGACTGAACAGAGGGTGCGAGGAATGAATAAGGGAGACCTGTGCAGCCTCCTCCATTCGGGCGGTGGCTTCCTTCCTGGCCTCCTGTAGCAGCCGGGTGTCGCCTGCAGGCCAGACAGGGAAAGCTCAGGTTCACATTTGCATGTTGCGTGTTGCGTGTTGCGTGTTGCGTGTTGCGTGTTGCGTGTTGCGTGTTGCGTGTTGCGTGTTGCGTGTTGCGTGTTGCGTGTTGCGTGCGATTGGCAAGAGTGAGTGCGAGTGCAGTACCACCGATCTCGCCGCCCCAGATGGTCTGAACTTGGGCTGCAATCGATTGAGTCGCCGAGGTCAGTGCTGACGAAATGAGTCAACGCTCTCTTGGTGCATGGCTTGAGGCCGTACCCCATGTGTTGCCGACGATGTTACGCGATCGCACCGTGTGCCCAAACACCATGCCCAGATCTGTTGGCAACAGCACCACATGCTTAGGGCAACCAGGAGCGTGTGTCCCCCTTGTCAGCCCAGGTGCGTACCACCCGCCGACGTGCGCCCCGGAACCGTTTCCGCTGCGTACCGCCACAACAACCAATTAGTGTTTATTTGCTTTGTACTGATTTACTTATTTGTTTGTTTATTTGTTTGTACGTCCAAGATATACGGCGACAGACGTACTGGCGCATATGTGCAGTAAACGGCGACTACTTGCACTGGTCCCCAGGCGCACACCTGACGAATTGTAGGCAAACGAGCCTTGTGCGGTGGGTGCGGGGGGGGGGGTCGGTCAACTTTCTCTTGCAAGTGTGGGCGAAAGAAAGAAAGAAAGAAAGGCAGTAGTCCGTACTCGACGCCGCAAGGACTCTACCTCGGGTGTACATCGCGACCGGCCAAGTTGGAGGTTTGTGTTTTGCCGCGTGCGGTGTGTGCCAGTGCCTTGCCCCCACTCTTCCAGTTCTTTCCAGGAACGGGGCGGAGAAAGCACACGCGCAACAACATCAGGCCTAGGTGCGAGGTGAGTGCCACGGCTACGACAAGGGTCGACTCAGTGAGCCAGGGGATCAAGAGAGAGAGAGAGAGAGAGGCACACGGCATGTAGCGTGAAAAGGGTGGTTTGTGTGAGCTTATTTGACTTCGCTCTCCTTGGCGCGAGATCGAACAACGGAGTCGCGCTTGCTGGTGTTGTTGCTGCTGGCCTTGGCAAGCTCTCGTTGCACCTTCTCCCACACCGCCGAACGCTCACTGCCGCTCTCCTTGGCCGCGTTGGTCAGGATGAGCTGTCCCATTATGTTGACGATCCACCAAAAGAGAATGATTAGAGCGCGCAGCATGGCTTGATGTGGTGAGTGAGGATGGGATCGATTCAAAACGCACCTGCAGGGTTTCAGGCACTGACTTGCCCTCTTGCAAGTGCTTGATGACCTGCAGTCGCGTGTGTGAGGAACGGCGACGACACCAGTCACAGAGTGAAGATAGCGTGAGGTGAAGAGGTGCTACCTCCTGGTTGCGCGGATCGCTTTGGAACGCCCGCATGGCCTGCCCCATGTCACCCAGTTGGCCTTCGATCTTCGTCATGTCGCTAGACGACTGCGTGGGCGCAAAGGTTATTATTTATTGATTAGCCAAATAAAACATATAAATAAAATACATAAAAAAAATCAATCGAATTGGCAGCAAACGAACCAGCATACTCGGGTTGTGCGAAGCGATGGCAAGCTTGTACAGCTCGAGGATCTTTGAGTAGGCTTCTTTCTGCTGTCGAGCCACACTCTGACCTTCTTCTTCCGATGCCTTGATCCAGTTCTCTGCATTCCTTCGCAGCTTCTGGACGTGATCGTATTCTGTACGTCCGAATCCTCTGTACTCCTTCCACGCGAACTTGGCCATGTGCCACAGACGCCTCATCTTTGCCGGCTTAATGAATGAATCAAAACAGCCAAAAAGAAAAACAAAGAAAAAAAGAGTGAGGCAGAGCCGATAGTAAAGATGGGAAGAGATGCCAAGTGTTCTGTTTGATTGTCGTATATATACATTACATATAGATTGGGTCGAGGCACTTCCCTCTAAGGCCATCTTCGTGTTGGGAAGAGATCGGCTACCTCTTGCTTCTTCCGCGTGCAGGAATAAATAATCTAGATTCAGAGAACAAAACGTCGTGGCCGAGGTGTGGTGGGATGTGATTTGCACCCCACGCCGCCGTGCCGGAGAGAGTGTCACGTAGCAAAAACACGACTGCATGCAGGGAAGATTATAAGCGTTTGTACAAAATTGGCATTAATCGCTCGAGCGATGGGCAGGATACATACTGGATAATGACGGTTGGGGGGTTGAGAATGGTAGAGAGGCGCTTAGATGAGGATGCAGCTCTTCTTGCCGGCCGACGCGGGCTTGGGCACGTTGTTGCAGACGATGCTGGTGATGGCGGCGTCGAACACCTCCTTGAGACCCACCTTCGTCAGGGCCGAGCATTCCATGTATCTGAGGGCCTTGATCTGCTTGGCCAGCCTCTGGCCTTCCTCCTGGGAGACAACATCGGCCTGCTCCTTCCTCAAATCGGTCTTGGTACCCACGAGAATGATGGGCGCCTTGGGGCAGTGGTGCTTCAACTGTCCGTTGCAAGATTTGACAATTAGAATGCCAAGCAGAAAGAAAAATCTCACGTGATTAAGGGATCAATGGCACTTACCTCGGGGACCCACGTTTCCGTGACGTTGCCGAACGAGGTGCGCGCGGCGACGGAGAAGCAGAGAAGGAAGATGTCGGTCTTCTGGTAGCTGAGGGTCCTAATCCTGGCGTAGGCCTCCTGACCTGCATAATTCCAACGAACATGTTGGTCCTACCGAACTGATCTGGGCCAACAATTAATCAATTGCAAGGGGCGCAGGCGTACCAGCAGTATCCCACAAAGAGAAGATGACCTCCTTGCCCTCCACCAACACAGTCGCTTCGTAATTGTCGAACACTTTGGTAGCCCAAACATCCACAATTAATAAGCAACCATCGCCTTGCCGTACGCACAAGAGGGTGGCAACGTACCAGTAGGAACGTAGTCCGTGGGGAACTCATTCCGTGTGTAGCTGATCAACATGCAACTCTTACCGACAGCACCGTCGCCGACTTTGAAAATCAAAGAACGGGGATGAGGATGAAGGCACAACTTTGCATCTTAATTGCAAGACATGATGGGAATTTTGCATACCGACGACGCACTTGACGGTCTTCTTTTCGGGGGACGCCATTTCAAAAGAGGAAGAGGAGCTGAAGTTGATCTATACGAAGGGTGATGTTGGGGCTTGTGAGGCAGGAAGGAATTAGCGGCTGGTTGGGAGAATCAGCAGCTAATCGACCGGTTGGCAGGCGCGGGCACGGACAACAAGGAAGTCGGGTATGCAAACGAACGACGAAGGCGAAAATTTGGCTGCTTTGGGGGCAGCACAGCGCAGCTCTTTCGCCTAACAGGCCACGGGAGCTAGAAGTGCGGTGACACCGTGAGCAACTGGCCGCCATTGGCTCGATGCTTTGGTAGTTCCGTTTTGAGCCCCAAAACGTTTAATTTGACGCCGTGGACCTGTTACCATCGCGAACTGCCGGAGTGAGTGGATTTCTTTCTTGTTTTCCACAAGAAAGATGACGTCATGAAAGAAATGTGATTTTGTTAGGCATTTCATTTTTGGTGTCTGTTTTGGGATCACCGCAAATTTCCTAGATTGTATGGGGAGACAAGTATGCGGGAAATGACCTCCTCGCTTTTTCTCTTTCTCTCCCCTCCTCATCCCACATCAGCCCCGAAGCGGTTGGTCTTTCTTCTCCTAACAAAATGAAGTACGTGCTCCCGTCACGCTGCTCTAGTGGGGTTTATGCTGCCGTTGACGTGGTGGGTGGTTGGAAGTGTGGGCTTAGGCTAACAACAGATCCTCCCAAACGTTAATTTGATCCCATTAGGACTGAAATCTGCCAGTTCTCTGGGTACAAGATCTACCCTGGTCATGGCCGTCGCTATGCCCGTACCGACATGAAGACCTTCGTCTTCATCAACGCCAAGGCCGAGAAGGCTTTCCTCAAGAAGAGCAACCCCCGTAAGGTGCTCTGGACGACCGTGTACAGGCGCATCCACAAGAAGGGCACCACCACGGAGGTCCAGAAGAAGAAGACCAGGAAGGTCGTGAAGGTGCAGAGGGACATCGTCGGTGCCACCCTCGACCAGATCAAGCAGAAGCGCGCTCAGAGGCCTGAGATCCGTGCTGCCGCTAAGGAGGCTGCCCTCAAGTACGCCCTTCCCACCAATCCTTATCTTCATTCTGCTCCCATCTTCGCCGCTGGACCTTTGTCAGCGCTTCCCTCTTTTGCTTACATTTATCCTACCGCCTCCGTATACAGGGAGATCAAGGAAAGGCAGAAGAAGAAGGAGGACCTCAAGAAGAAGGCTGCCCCCGCTCCTGCCAAGGGTGCTAAGGGCAAGAAGGTTGCTGCCCCCAAGGCTACCAAGGCCAAGGCCCCTAAGGCTCCCAAGGGCCAGAAGGGCCGCTAAATCCTTTTCCTCTGCTCTTGTTCCGTAAAAAACATAAACCTCTTTCCGGAGGACAAAGTCCTTGTCTTCTTCTTCCCATTCATCTCCCAATTTGCTTGCCATCACGTTGCGTATTTTTTTTCTTTTTTGTTTGAAAAAAATGAAAATGCCTTCTTTTTGGAACTACAAAGACAAACGTGATGGATTGGCTCTGGGGGCGAGGCGGCAAGGGCGCTCGTGCTGACGATGCTGGGCAGCAGGAGGAGGCAGCGCTGCCCCCGGGCTGGGGTTGGGTCCGGGCGGTGGGCAGGGAGGCGAGGGCTTCGGGCGCCGCTATGTGGTCGATCTTGTGTCGCGCTACCTCGAAGCATTTGCATCTCTTCGGCACACCAACGCTGCCAGCCTGCTCAAAGACAAACGCGTACGGCGTACCTTCCATCTTACTGCTCTATGAAATCAGACCAGTAATCAACTCTGTGCTCGTGCTCCTTCAAGAACCTGGCCGTGGGGGTGCCATGGTCGGCACTGCTGACACCTCTGGGGACGCTGGCAATGGCCGAGGCCTCCTACTATTCGCTCTCGTTTCTCGAACCCCGTGCACTCAAGAAGGAGGTACGCGCCACCTTCTCCATTCGGCCTCCGCAAGGAGTGCGTGCTGACGTACTCCCCTCTGCAGACCCTGCGAGGCCTCTACACCCAGGCGCACAACAACTTACGTTCCATCGCCAAATCGGCGCACGAGCTGGATGCCGTCAGCGAGGACGCCGGCAGCGAACACGAGGTGCGATCCTCCCCCAATCGTGTCCACATCTGGTGGCGTGTTGGGGTCCTAAGCTGTTAGGTGCCCTACGCGTGCGCAGGAAGCGACCAACCCCACCTTCTTTGCCGTCATGCTCAAGGATTGCTGCCTGTTGGTCGAGTGCCGATTAGAAATGGTCACCGTGTACGCATCACCTCGCCTCGCTTTGCAGTGCCCCTCTTCGCTCGCTCCGATGCCCCTTGCGAGCGAGCTCTCCAACTGACTTGGCGCCTTGCCTTGTGTGCCCCCGTGCGGCTCAGTTACGGGACGCTGGCGAATTCGATGGGGCCACCACCGCGGTACCAGAACCTGTCCTCGCTCACCGCAAAGCTCGCCGATCGTGTGCGAAATCCCAAGTCCTTCTCCCACCCGCTCACGCAAACCCTCCGGAATCATCTTCTGTAAGTGCGCCCCCCCCCCTGGAGCGAGCGATGCTTGGGGGCCTTGACGTGTCCCCTTGTTCCCCGAACTCACCTCGCATCTCTTCCATTGATGTGATACGCCAGCTACGAGTTGATGATCCTTCAGAAGCTGTTCCGCATTCAGATGGCAATCGGCAGCTACCAGTTCAAGGACTGCACCTTTCTCTCTTTCCAGTGCAAAACCGATCTCGACCAGTGGAAGAATCTTCTGGCCGAATGCCAGTCGTCCAAGGTACACCTTGGCTGTTGAATATATATATATATATATACATATGATGTTGTATGATTACTTACATACCCCCCGACAATGTGCACAAACAGACACCGAGCCGAAAGGACGACAAAACAAAGGTGCAGTGCGGTATCTACACATGGCTTCGCGATTTCTCGCAGGTGACGTTGAGCAGGACGCTGTTCTACTTTGGCAACATCTACAGCCAGCAGCGCATGCCCAACGGACGACCAATGGACGTTCGAGCGCTCTCCGCCGCTTCGCGTCCCGATTTCTACGCCGTGTACCCTCCCTCACCCCTCCACGCTGCAGTCTGTGGTGGGCGTGTTCGTTTCGTTTTTCGTTTTTTCGTGTTTCTTGTCTGACCCGCGTTCTGCTGCAGGATTGAGAACTTCGCTCAGAACACGGAAGCGTTGAGCGTGTGCGTTGTATATGAGGTGCCGCGCGAGGCCATACCCGGTGCGTGGTCCCTGGGGCTCGAGCCGTTCTCTCTCTCAATTCAGCCCTGACGATTATTGCACGCGCGCCCGCACAGGAATGGAGTTCAGTCCCGAGGGGTACATGCCGCCGTCGGCGCTCAAGAGATACGAGGCACCCAAGGGTCTCAACTCTTGGCCCGCCATTTTTGCCTATCCTGGCGTATGCCCCCTTCTCTCGAGCTTCCGCGACCATCACTCCTTCACACACACGACACACACGACACGACACGACACGACACAAACACACACACACACACACACACACGCCACGCACATCGACAGGAGCCGCCAGCTGACCACTGGCCCAATGTGGTGAGTATGATCCTCGACAACGACGGAGACCTTAAGTACGAGCCAAAGGGCCTTCGCGGTCTTATCGCAATAGAGCGCCTGCTGGCGACTCATATTCATGCACCCTCTCCCCATACACAACGACAGGCAATACAAGCAAGCGCTGATGTACTTCGACAAGGCCATCGACTACACGTACGCCGCCGTGCGCGTCGACGTCGCCTACACTCTTGTGCGTTTCTTCTTCTTCACTCCTCCACCCAGTGCGCGGTGTGTGCCGTGTGCACTGCGTGTTGACGTGAAGTGAATGTGTCGTGCCAGGTGGCAATCTACCGAGGGAAGCAACGAGCGAGCGAGAGCGTCATCAAGAGTTCGATGAGCACCATCGCCGACCATCTGCGCAACACCTCCACCTTCGCCCGGCTGCGACCCAAGTAGCCCGGCACCATGGTGCCCACCTCAAGCTGAGAGGAAAAAAAGAGAAATGAAAAGAAAAGACAACAGACCAGGCAGGCAATTCGTCCACCAATGGAGCGACTCTGCCACTTAATTCGTCCACCAACAACTACGTGCGGCCTATCACGTCAGTGAGGCCGGCGGCACGGTTGTGAGGGCAGCTGTCCGTGTCCAACTAGCTCAGAACAACACAATGCAAAGCCACACTACCCGGCGCACCCTCTCGGCCGGCCTCCTTCTCCTGGTCTTGCTCCTTGCGGGCAATGCCAAGCCCTCATCCGCCACCCCCAAGCTCGTCTTCGCCCACTACATGGTCCGTTCTCTCCATTGCTTAGTCCCCGCCCGCAACATGTTGTGGTCAGGGCTGGCTCTTATGGTCTTGCCTCTCCCCCACCAATGGGCCACGGAGAGCAGTTGTGGGTGCCCTCGACCAGCGATGACGTCAGCGGCTTTATCACGGACATCAAGATGGCGCAGGCGGCCGGCATCGACGGCTTCGCCATCAACACCGCCGACTGGTCGGCCGTGAACTGGGCCATCCCCCGGTGCGACAAGATCTGGGAGGCGGCCGAGACACTGAACTCGGGCTTCCAGCTCTTCTTCTCGGTCGATCTCACCGGCTCGCTGGGCAACATGGCCGGCGACATCGTGGCCATGGCCGCCCGCTACGCCAACCGGCCCAACACGCTCAAGGTCGACGGCAAGGTGTTTTTGTCGACTTTCGTAGGGCAGGACAAGACCTTTGGCTACCCGACGCCCCAGCAGGGCTGGGACCAGGCCGTGCTCACGCCTCTGCGCAACCAGGGCGTGCCGGTCTACTTCATCCCCTTCTTTGCGCCCAACAACGAGAGGCCAGGTACCCCCCAAGTGTTCCACCTAAACCACATGCTCTTTCAACCAAACAAAAATATCAATAATAATGAAAACAGGGCAAGTGGGCTATCCGTCGCCGTCGCAGGTATCAGACGTGTTCGCGGAGTTCCCGTTCCTGGATGGAATCTACCAGTGGAGCGCGTGGCCCTTCTTCTACGGCAACCTCCAGACCGTGAGCAACCAGGCCGACGTCAACTACCTGTACTCCCGCCGGGACTTTCACTTGTTCTTCTTGTCTGACGATCACCTCCCCCCCAAGCGCTGCTGTCCGGGCGCACGGTAAATCGTACATGGCGCCCATCAGCCCGTGGTTCTCCAAGCACATGGCCGGCGCGCCTGTCACCCTCCCCAACTGGGTACGACCAACGCTCCGGAATGGATTGCGAAACAGCTAACACCCGCCTTTTCACGAGAGCAGGTATTCGGCAACTACAAGGGGCCGGGCATGTGGATCGACCACTGGAACTCTCTCATCGCGCTTCAGCCCGACTTTGTCGAGATCGTCACCTGGAACGACTACCCGTAGGTGGCCCACACATGCGATTTTTTGTGTTGACAATCTCAGCGATAGCTGAGACGCACGCGTTGATGAAAAAGGGAGCGGACGTATATAGGACCCACCACGGCGCCGTGGGGCGACGATGATGATGTGACCTTCCCGCACCTGGGCTTCCTCGACCTCACCAAGTACTTCGTCCACGCCTACAAGAGCGGCCAGTATCCCAATATCGAGTACGCCTCGTGTGTGTCGTGTGTGTTGTGTGTCATATCGTGTGTGTCGTGTTGTGTGTGTCGTGTAAGTCGTGTGCCTGACGCCAGTGCTGTTCGCCTGACAGTCAGGAGAAGGTCTACGTGTTCTATCGCTCGTCTTCCAAGTATGCGGTGGCGTCGAATGACCCTCTCGGCCCGATCCAAAACAGTCAGTCCATGGACGACAACATCTACGTGGTGACGCTGCTCAACTCGCCGGCCGACGTCATCGTCACCTCGGGGTCCTCGTCGGGTCGGTTCTCCGTCAACGGCGGTCTGAAGAACGTCACCATGGCCTTCCAACAAGGCGCGCAGGTCCGATCCTTCCTCTTCTTCCTTTGCTGTACTGTCGGCTGACCTTCGATGACACACAACGCAACACCGCAGAGTGTGCAAGTGGTGCGCAACGGGCAGGTGCTGGGCCAGAAGACGTTCGCCAAGCAGATCTCCAACAACATCGCAGTCTACGACTTCAACGTCTTCTCCGACGTTCTGGTGCTCTGAATGAGGCCATGCACACCGCAAGCCGCGCGCGTGCGTGTAGTGCTCGTAGACGAGCCGCGGGACGGGGCGCACCACCATCACCACCACCATCAACTCCATCACCCACGCCATTAACATTGCAAAGGTGTGAAAAGAAGAGGACAACAAGGCTGTTTCCGCCCAGAAGGGTCTGTACAAGAAGGCAACGTGGCTGCCGGCAAGCAGCTGGTGTTGACCGAAAACGAAACGCCCAACATGTTGAAGTGGCAAACAATTGGCCGTCGGTGGTCGATGGCCGGTGTCTCAGTAGTACTGACGTCGCGGGTTGTTGAGCGGATTGGGCCGGTAGCGGTACGCGCTGTGCGGAGAGATCGTCAGACTTCACCCTTGGCGATCAAGAAGAAGAAGAAAGAGCTCAAAGTGCGTACGTCATCATCCGCTTCTTGTAGGCCTCATAGATGTCATCGTTTTCGGCGACGGTGGACGGATCAGAGGTGCCCACACCCAGCATGTCGTTCTTCACCTCCGCCTTGATCGGCTCCGTGATGCCCTCCCCCGTCGAACCCAGGCCCGTTCCCTGCCGACACGGCACACGTCACACACACGGCACACATGACACACACACACGACACACACACGACACACACACAACGCACGGCACACGGCACACAGTGAGTAATGAAAGTTGCTAAGCCACAAGCGTGGCTGGGCTACGTAGAGGGTGCGTGCGTAGCGTACCTCCTTCCAGCCCATCTTCTGAAGGAGCTTCTTGCCAATGTCCGAATCGACGGCCTGCGGTGCGGGTGGGGCGGGCTTGGGTGCGCTCGAGCCCGCCCTCTTGGGCAGGAACTTCTCCAGCTCCTCCTTGGGCAAGAAGTCACCTGCGCCACCCCGCAAGAAAAACAAAGATAAAATTGATCGTTAGCGCCAAAGCGAAAGCGAAAGCGACGGAAAGCGAAAGCGAAAGAGCGGCTGTACCGATGTGATGTCCGCCTGGCCTGCCGTGTTGCGTCTGCTGTGGTGGGGTGTCGTCGTCGTACGACGAGGTGCCGGGCAGGGGCGTGGACCTGTACCCGCCCGACGCCGTCGGCGACGTCGCACGTGGCCCGTCCTCGCTGAACTTCTTCTGGTAGCCCTGTGACACACGCACGCGCGCGGAAGACAACGCAATCAGCCCCAGTTCAGCCCTGGCTGGGTTGCACACGACACGCGCGACACGACACGACACGACCCACGTACTCCCATCTCGTCGAATTGGCGCTTTTTGTTGGTCGGCGGAGAGTGCGGAAGCGGAGGCCCGGCAGCAGCGGCGGCAGCCGATGGGTGCGGAGAGTAGTGCGCCGTGGCCTGCGGGTGCGGATGGTACGCGGGCGCCGGCGCCGGCGCCGCAGGCGTCTGCTGCTTGCGCCACGGCGGCGGTGCGGCCGATGACGTGGCGTGTGCGCTGCCGCTACCGACGCTGCCGGACGGGAACGGCATGGGTCCCTTGCCGGCGGCCGACGCGACCTTCTTGCGCTCCTCGTCGCGCACCCACAGGTAGTAGGCACGCTCGACGTGGACCTCGGCGCTGGCCGACGCCGCGGTCTCGAAGAGGAACCCGAACTTGGGGTTGCCCTCGTTGCGCGAGCGCGTCAGCTGCTCAAAGTCGGGTCCGTGTCTGCGTGTTTGTGTGCGCACACACCGTGTCGTGTGTCGTGCCATGTCGTGTTTGGTGTGTTTGGTGTGTCGTGGTGGGTTGGTGGCGGATTCGGTCAGATCGGCGCGGCCGGGCCGAGGCCATGATCATGGTCGGCCGTTGCGACACGGGAAAGCGGAGCGGAGAATTAGTCGAGACCGCGAGCGAGCAAGCCGATCATGGGAGAGCCGAAGGCAGCGCTGCAAGCCTCGAGAGTGGTGGTGGCAGGTGGTGTGAACGTTTCATACCTGGCCACGTATTGGGCGAGCTTGTCGATCACCTCCTTCCTCTCTGCCGTCGGGGCTGCAGCACACACGACACACGACACGGACGCGAGCTGACGTCAGCATCGAGAGGGGTGGGGTGGGGGAAGACGTGTAGCGCGTGGGGTACCAGGAGGAGGCGGAGGCTGAGCTGCGACGACGCGCTGAGGAGCTGAAGGAAGAGGCGCAGGGGCAGGTGCTAACGAAGGAGATGAAGAAGAGGTCGAAGGCGGTGAAGATGAAGAGGAAGAGGAAGATGAAGTCGAGGCGGGCGGCGGCGGGGCGGGGCGCGAGGGCGGGGCTGCGGTCACGCGCGGGCGCTTGACGGGGCGGTGCACGCCGCCGGCGGTCGTGGGGAGGGCGGCGTCCTCCGCATCGTCATCGTCATCGGCGCTGAAGGGGAGCGGCTTCTTGCCGCCGGGTTGGGCCAGTCCGACAGGCTTCATGCTGAAGCTTAGCTTCATCCCCCCGCCCTGTAGGAATGAATATTATATTGTTGGCCATGTGGGGCGGTACCGCAGCACATGCAAGTGAATCGATGGGGGGGGGAAATGATCAGGAGAAGGGATCTTTTCACGTACGATTGGAGTAGGGCTTGGGCCTCCTTGTGAATTCATGTGGCTCCGAATGGAATGTTGGAAATTTGTATTGGGGGGATCTGATTGCTCTGCTTTTTCTCGAGACAAAGCGATAAATAAATAAAAAAAGTAAAATAGATTATTCTTTCGCAGGAATTAGACACAAGAGAGATGGAAAGGACACGATCGAGAGATGGCGATCGTCATCGCGACGATGAAGGCCGCCGAGGAGGCTACGATCGGAGGGACAGAGAGCGCGATTCGCGTCGCGATCGCGATGAGCGCAGACCAGGCAGGATGGACGACGATTCTGAGCACTCTCGTCATTCTCGTCGCTTCTCTGAGGCAAAGAGCAGTAGCCACGACTCTCGTAGTCACCATCGCGATTATTCCTCGCGCGAGAGGCGCGATGATGACAATCATCGAGGCCGCCCTGCGACAATTGTCGATGACGGCCGTCCCATGCGCTACCAGCGCCCCGAGTTCAGTGGAGGCGGTGGCGGCGATCGCCACCGGTCCTACAGCGGCCGCAGCCGGGACTCGTACCGGTACGGCCCCTTCGCTTGGTGTTCATCCATCCAATGACATGCCGCTCATCTTCACGCACACACTCCGCACGCGCCGCACACACGCATCACCGCACGCGTCGGCCGCACGTGCAGGGACGATCGTCGGCGAGGCGGGATGGCGATGGACGAAGAGGAGGACCTGCGCGGCGGCGGTGGCAGGAAGAGGGACCGGCCCGACTCGACGTTCCGAGGCCGCGGCGGCGGCTCCGGCCCGAACCGGCGGGATCAGGAGAACCGACCCGAGTACGAGGTCCCCCGCGGCGGCTACTTCTTTTTGGTACGCACCTGCTCGTGTGTGTGTCGTGTCTGTGTCGTGTGTGTGTGTCGTGTGTCGTGTGTGTGTGTCGTGCGGTTACTAATCTATATCTTGGCGCCACGCAGCACGACGACCGAGACGGCGGCTTTGGAATGAAGAGGCAGCGCACTTGGGGCACAGAGGCGACGTCCAGGAGCAGAGTCGACATTGCCGACAAGTGGACGCACGACAAGTTTGAGGACGATGCGAGGGAAGACAACGACGCCAGGCGGAGCGACGCCAGCGGCAGCCGACGAGGCGAGATCCGCTTTGCGAGGGGCGGGACCGAGGCGGCCGAAGAGGGCGGGCTGTCTTCTTCGAGGCGTGGCCGCAGCGACCGAGATGACAGCAACGATGAAGAGGAGGAGCAGCACACGGCCAGACGGTTTGCGGAGCGTGAGTCGCGCGACAACAGCGATGAAGACGACGACGGCGATGAGGACAGGGACGAAAGCCGCAACAACAACAACGCAAGTGACAATCGCGATGAAGACGGACACACAGTCGAGACATCAGCCCCGAAGGACAGCGAAGAAGCGTCAAGCAGCCTTCTCGACGAGATGGTGTGAAAGGTGGCAGATCCCTCCTGTGGCCTCAACCAACAAGGCTGGATTGATTGACCTCAGCAAGTGTGAAACAAAGTTGTTCCTGCCTTGTACACTGGACCAGTGCAAAAGGCAGGTTTGGCTCACCCAGTTTGTAGTCAGCTGTGGCAGGCGATGAGGCGACCTGAAGCAATAGTGGCGAGAGTGAAGAAGCAAAAAGGAGGATACGGCACGGTGGATTCCCGGGTGGTCGCCCACCCCAGTACTAACACCGCCTGGCGCAGCTTAACTTCGCTGTTCGGATGGGAAGCGGTGCTTTCTGCGCAGTATGGCCGTATCCATCAGCCTACCAGGGACTTCGCCCATGTGATCCCTCTTGGTCACACCATCATTTAAATTGCACACTAACTTGGGCTTCAATGACAATGGAGGGGAGGGGTGTGCTACATCACTCCTTACGGATTTGGTCCAGACCGAAGAAGCGCACCGCGGTCTGCGTGGTTTCACGCGCCACCTCCTCTACCGATCGTCCGGTGCAGTCGGCGACCGCTGTACACACCATAAAAAATGTTGGTCAACAGAACGTGTAACAGACATGACACGCGCACACCACACACCTCACACACCGCACACACCGCACACACCACATACATTGGGCACATGACACGCACACAACACATTGGAGGATGTAAGTACTCTGTAGGACGTGGGTGAGGTAAGACGGCTCGTTGCGGCGCGGGCAAGGGCGCAAGGTGCGCGGAGTGAGGAACGGGGCGTCGGTCTCGATCATCAGACGATCGAGCGGCACGAGCCCGACGATCTCCTGCAGATGCCGACCGCGCCTCTCGTCGCACACCCAGCCCGTGATACCTGCGTTGGACTCGTCAGCTGCCCTGGTGCGTGTGCGGTGTGTGTGTGTGTGTGTGTGTGTGTGTGCGCGCGCGCGCGTGTGCGCTGGTGTGTGTGTGCGCGTACCAATATACATGCCCATGGCAAGATACTCTTCGAGTTCCTCCTTCGTCCCGGTGAAGCAATGTACGACAGCAGGCGGCAGGCCCTCCATGTTTTCCTTCTGCAGATGGATAGGCAACATTTCCCCCCATTGAGCACCGGCCCGCCACAGTGGAGCACCTCGAGGGGGGTGATCGATAAATCGCATACCATGATTTCGGCAAACCGACGGAAGGCCGAGCGCTCGTGAAGGAAGATGGGTTTGTTCACCTCCTTGGCCAGCTTCAGCTGCTCCACAAACCACTGTTGTGCACATCGCGCGTGTGTGGTTTAGCCGTGTGTGTGTCGTGTGTGTCGTGTGTGTCGTGTGTCGTGTTGGCATGAAACCAACGACACATAGCGCACGCAGCAGAGGCCGAAGGTGCACCTTTTCTTGGACGTCCTGGGGAGAAAAGTTCCTGTCAAAGTCGAGTCCGCATTCGCCCACGGCCACCACCGCCTTGTGCCGCAGCTGCGTGATAGACAGTGTCGACAGGTTAGCATTGGGTCCCTTATTGTGCCCAAACGGCCACCACGGAGACCACTCACAGTGGGTCCACGGTGAGTGCGATCGCGCGCGGAGGAGTGGGAGCGGGCACCAGCTCGCGGAGGTTGGCGATGGTGCGGTCGTTGCAGTGCTTGGCGTCGTGCGGGTGCACGCCCGCCGTCGAGTAGAGGAATCCCTCGCGGCCCTGCGTGACCTTGAACGCGTCCCTGCTCGCTCTCTCCGACGTGCCTGCCAGGCTCGGTTCATCAGTCTCGCACACACCGCACACACGCACACACGCACGCACACCAACGCACGCACACAAACGCACACCCACACCGCACACGCGGGGATGTACCGGTGAGAACGATGGCGCGCACGTTGGCCTTCTGTGCGCGGTCGAGGACGGCGTCAAAGTCGGCCCGGAAGCTGGCGTGCGTGAGGTTGGCCCCGATGTCCACCAGCGGCTCCGGCGCAGGTGCGACCGCCACTGGCGCCTCCGGCTGCTCTCCCTCCCTTCCGCCACGCCTGCACAAAAAAGAAATAATTCAAAATAATCCAAAATAATTTAATTTATCCAGATTTCAAATACAGATATAAATTTTAAAAAAATAAATAAACGCAATACCCCCTGCGGCCTCCGGAAGATGAAGCACCGCGACCGCCTCTTCGTGGTTGGGCAGCGGCGCTGCCGTCCCCGGTCGGGGCAGTTGTTGCGGAAGTGGTGTAGTGGCCTCCTCGTCCGCCTCCCCTGCCTCGCCCCCATCCGCCGCCGCCACCTCGTCCACCTCGTCCGCCTCTTGCCTGTTCCATCGCTTGCAGTAGTTGCACTCTTGTCCGCACGGTGGTACCTCTTCGCATACACTATGTCTTGACTAATTTTTGATTTCTATTTCGTTTTGTTCTACTGTTTTGTGTTCTTCAGTGAAATTCTTTGATATTTCCCTGCTGCTAGCAGCGAAATTACTGTGGAGGGGCAGAAGGGGGTGGTGGCCAGCGTCCTAAAAGGAGCAGGCCTTACCAAAGAGGTACGGCCGCCTGGGGTGGTTGTTGTCGTGCTGCAAGTCAACCGACAAGGTCCCGCATAGCCCCAGTCCGCTCAAGTTTCAAACTTGTTGTACCAATCAACTCTCTAAAAAGATGGATCCGCCCGAGAAGAAGAACGTCAAGTGCGTCGTTGGTACGTACCTCTCCATGTCGTGTCTCTGAGCGCTGGTTTGTCTGGGAGGCTGGTTGATGATGACCTTGTGGTCAACGATCATCCATCAGTCGGCGACGGTGCTGTCGGTAAGACTTGTATGTTGATCAGCTACACCAAGAACGAGTTCCCCACCGACTACGTTCCCACCGGTACGTCTCTTCAGGGAGTGGCTTTGAATGGGCTCACTCCAACTCTAAACGTTCTTGTTCTCGTTCTTGTTCAAAGTGTTCGACAATTACGAAGCCACCGTGCTGGTGGAGAACAAGGAGGTCATCTTCTCCCTGTGGGATACTGCTGGTACGCCGTCCTTCCCCTCCCCCTCAAAGCAGTAGTTGTGATTTTAATCAAGGACTAGCCTCCTTGTAGTCTTCTGATCACTTCTCTGGCCACTCTTTGGTGTTGGTCTGGAACAGGTCAGGAGGCCTACGCCAGGATCCGAACTCTCAGCTACCAGAAGACCGACATCTTCCTCCTCTGCTTCTCCGTCGCCGCGCGCACCTCGTTCGGCAACGTCACCGAGACCTGGGTCCCCGAGGTAAGTACCTTCTTCTTCTTCTTCTTCTTCTATCGATCAGTACTGAGCTAATATATTGTTACATTGTAACTGTGGTGGTCGACGAACAGTTGAAGCACCACTGCCCCAAGGCGCCGATCATCCTGGTGGGCACCAAGACCGATTTGAGGAAGGACCAGTCGGCCGAGTGCGTGGTGGCCGAGGAGGGCCAGAAGCTGGCCAAGCAGATCAAGGCTCTGAGGTACATGGAGTGCTCGGCCCTGACCAGGGTGGGCCTCAAGGAGGTGTTCGACGTGGCCATCACCAGCATCGTCTGCAGCAGCGTCTCGACCCAGGCCTCGTCGGGCAAGAAGGGCTGCGTCCTCATCTGATCTTCCACAATTCCCCCTTACCTCCCCTTCCAGCAACAGCCCATATCAACAGTATCAAACAACATGTAGATATATTCCTCTGTTTGAGGGACTAAATAATCATATCCGTTTATGATGTTCTTTTTGGATATATTGTTGGTACATAGTATGTTTGATCACAGCTGGTCCTTGAATCTGGACACTCGATCCTGCACTCTGCGGCGCGCGAGTCGCTTGCGCTGCCACACTGCGACGGCCCCCACCACGCTCACCAGCACCACCAGCAACAGGGCCACGGGCAGCACCACCGAGGTCGCCACGATCAGCGCCAGATTGTCGTCCCCCCCGCCATTGTCGTCACTGTCGCGCGCTCCCAGCAGCACGCCGAGGCTGAGCGACGGGTCGTAGAACAGCGACGAGCTGAAGGCCGCGAATTCGAGCACCAGCACGTACTCGGCCGAGCCGTTGGTGTTGGCGGTGACCACGACGTCGTGGTGTAGGGAGACGCTGATGCCGTCGACCAGCGCCGCGTCGAACACCTCCACCTTGGCCAGCAGCCGCGATGGTGAGGAAGATGAAGGCAGGGTGGCGAAGGGCAGGAAGTAGGTGGTCATGCCCGCCTGAGGCGTGGCCGCCTGCCTGACGATGGCCTCCTCCGTGGGGGCGATCTCTGCGGTCGACGTCGAGGCGTTGATCAAGGCAGAGAGGCCGTAGCGAACGGTGAATGGCTCGGAGGACGCGTTGGTGGTGAGGTTGAGGGACCACTTGAGGGTGCCGGGGCTGATGCTGAAGCCGATGGAGTCGAACGAGGCCTCGGCCGAGTCATTGTAGAACGCGAACGCCTGGCCGAATCGGGTGGCATTGTCAGAGAGGACCGCTGAGTAGGTGTAGATCGTGGGAGCCGCCTCCGTTCCGTCCTTGACCTCAACCTCGAATTCTGCAGCAGCGGCCCATCATCTCCAGTTAGTCTACAAGTCAGTGAGTGCGGAGGCTGATGGGCGGCGAATTTACCATCGAGGTTTGCTTGCTGATCGCCGACTCGCAGGTCGCGCAGGGAAGACCGCACTCCAACCGCACCCGGCGCAATGGCGTCTAAGCGAGTCGCGCAGTAAAGCTGTGGGTCAGCCAAGCGCCAAACATACGAAGAACGAAGCAATGACGAGGCCAAAAGAAAGGCTCACCAGCGATCATGTCCACAACGGGCCGTTGGGGAGCGAAGCTGGCCTTCACCTTGCTCACCACCGGCGACAGCACGGGCGCCGGCGACGGTGTTACGGACGGTGAGATGGGTGAAGGACTCGCGCTCGGAGCGGGAGAGTTGGAGGGGGACGGAGACGGGGAAGGCGACGGAGGCAGCACGCCCCGACAGCCCTGCAAGGCCACCCGGAAGCTCTGCGAGGCGAGGGAGGTCCATTCCTGGAAGCCCTGGTTGTACTGGGCCAGCTGCGCGAGGTCGATGATGGTCGCGTTGGTGGCGGCTTGGTAGCTGGTGGCCGACAGGGACTGGGAAACGATGTTGGGGTTGTTGACGACGAGCCAGTAGCTGGTGCCCACGTACAGCTGGATGCCCTCGGGCCGGGTGGAGTTGAACGTGTAGAAGGTGGTGGCGCTGATGGTCAGGGGTGTCGAGATGTCGAAGGTGGCGTCGACCAGCTGACTCCCGGGCAGGTCGTCGTTGTCCGAGTAGACGGCGGCCTCTGAAAGCTGAACAGAGGACACTTATGACGGTAGTAATGGTGTCACATCAAAATCGTATATTGACAGAAATGTTGTGTGCGTGTGAACAGAGGGGCCACGTACATGCGGTGGCCAGGCTGATGGTGAAGGACTGGACGTAGCAGTTGTCGTTGAGGACCAGCTTCTGGGCCAGGGGGGCGATGGTCTTTTGCGCTGTTTGGGCCGACGCCGTGTTGTCGGCGAGTGAGACACACTCCTGGCCCGCGACCAACTCACCGAAAACAACAACCGCGAGCACGACCAGAGCTCCCAAGCCCAGCCCGTATGGTGTCACTCTCATCTTCAAGGTAGGCTGCGCTCGAACAGGGCAAGCTGTGTGGGTGGTGGAATGGAGCGTGTGACGTACGATGGGTTGGAGAGCTGGAGCTGTACACAAGCGCGACCCATTCGTCTATTGGTGCGCGATATTGCTGCTGGCAGACCAATCTGATCGTTCCCACCACCAGCAATTGATTGGAAACAATCGGCACTACATGATCGGAGAGAGAAGTTTCGGCGCATCGTTACTCCTGCTGCTGGAGCAGGGTTGAAGGATCTCCCTCAATGCTACCAATCAGCGCCATCATGGCCAATTCGGGCAATGGTGATCAGAGGCACCAAATACAATAGATGGAAAAAATACAACACAACACGCACGCATTCATTTGTTGGGTGTGGGCGGGCGAAGGTCGGTCTCGATCTGGGCCATGTACTGCTTGATGAGCGGGCGCACTTGAAGTCCATCGAGAAACTGCGCCTTGATGGTCGGGTGATAGGCGGCCAGCAGCGGACCCGCTACACACCAACACAACCCGCGGCGTGATCAACAAAAGAGAGAGAGAGAGAGAGAGAGGGAGAGAGAAGTTAGGACCCTATGTTGGGTAACGTACCCGTAGCGCCGTACGTGTCGGCATCCGCTCCGACGAGCACCACCCACATCAGCGTATCAAAGCCGTGTTGCTGTCAAGCATGGCGACGCGGAACGTCAACGCGTGTGTGGTGTCGTGCGTGCGTGTGTGGTGTCGTGTCGTTGGTCGTGTCGTGCGACGGAAGGGTTACCAGAAAGGCCATTCGGGAGCCATTCGGGGATCTCGGGGTGGGTGGACTGGAACGACCAGTACAGAGCCCACAGCGATATCTGCAGCGTCAGCACGCAGTAGCCCGACCTATTTCGATAATCTGGTCCGACAAGCACAACAACACGCGCCACACAGAAACGCACGACACACGCACACGCACCACCGCACATGACACATTGTTGGTGAGGGCAGGCCTCGGGGTGTGGGACCACACAGGTTTAATACCTTGAGTGTAGGGCTGGAAACGTTCGAATCCTCTCAGCTCCGTGAGCAGCGTTCTCTCGGCTTTCATCATCTCGCTGACTCCCACCCGTTTCAGCCACTGCCACCCACCAAGTCAGTGTGTGACGCATCTTGTCGTGTGTTGTGTGTTGTGTTGTGTGTGTTGTGTGTGCGTGTGCCGTGCGTGCCGTGTGTCGCGTATATGTGTGTCGGTACCTTAAGCGCTTCTGGATCGGCCGTGCTCCTTTTCCATTTGGCCCAGGGACCCGCGAGCAGCTCCTCCAGATCTTCAATTGTTGGCGGTGTCAGGGTCTCTCCACGAGCGCCCTTCAACAGCGCCCCACTACACCGAAAACGTCAGATATTGTGTGCCTTCACGTTGTGACACCGCACACTCACCGCCGCACACACGCACACGGCACGATAGGGACACCGCACCGTATGAGGAGGCTGTGGACGACACACGTGATCACGGGCAGCGGGGCGTAGTGGGTGATGATGCCGTGCAGGACCGTGTAGTCAATCAACCGCGCCTCGGCGGCCTCGCCCTCGTCGGCGTAGATCGCAGCCACCACCCCGTTCCGCATCAGGCTGACCGAGACACCACGCATGGCGTCAGCATCACAAGCCCAGTGGCTGCGCCACCGCGAGACGAGGAGCGCACCTGCCGTTGGCCCCGTTGCTCGGGTTTCGGTCGAAGTCCCACTCGCCGCCGGCGAACGGCGCGATGGTGGCCTTGGCCTTAGCCTTGGTCTGTTCTACCCCGGCGTCCGCGTCGCCCGCGACTGGTGCGCCGCCCTCACCTGCAGAAGCAGCCGCCGCAGCCGCCGCAGTCTGGGCGGCACCCCGCTTGCACAGGAATAGGGTGCGCCGGGTGGTGCCGCCCACATCCTTCGGGTTCGTGTCGAGCCACGCCAAGAACTGCACAACGAGTGACGTGTCGTGGTGGGTGGCGGGTGACACCACCGTAGGCCTCACATTGGGCCTGTCTGTGGGTGGGGGACGTACGTACGTGACGGGTGATCTCGAGAGGAGAGAAGCCTCCGCGCTCGTTCGCCACCGCTCGGAGGATGGACAGCGCCATCTCTGATGATGTGAACATAGAAAGAGACATAAAGGTAAACAAAAACCTACCAATTGAGATGAGGTGTGAGGAGCAGAGTATGTGTGTACCGGTGTCGTCGGTGGGTGCACCGCGGCGCCATCGGGCCTTGCCACCGCCCACGATCTTGCCCGGCCAGCCAGGGTAGGCCTCAACGCAGTTCTTCCCGACCTCCCTGCCGTCAGCGGAAAAAATGGCACAATAAATACAAGGAAACGTAATTCAATAAAAAATATATAAATGAATAAAAATAACAACCCCAGTTGGGCCACGGGAGGGCTAGCAGCGTGAATGTGTGGGGGGGGGGGAGAACCAAGGTATTTGAAATTCGGAGGTGGCGCCCAAGCTGTCGCCAACGGCCAGGCCCAGGGCAACGGCCAGCCTGTGCTGTGCGAGAGTGCCTGAGCTACCGCCGGTGCCTGGTGCTGATACTTGCTCCTCTTGCTCCATTCTTCCAACTGTAAAGTCCTTTGTTTGCTTGTTTTTATTTTGTTCTTTTCTTTATTTTAAGCCAACTATTCATTTCTCCACTATTCACCATGTGCTTCCACTAGTGGATGAAAACGAAGACGTGGATGTTCTTGCCCTTGTTGTTGACGACAAAGACCCGGTCGCCGATCACTGCGACCGCCCCGGGGCTCCGAATCAGCTGGAGACTGGCCTCGGCACCGCCGCCCACCACCAGGGGCGCGCCGCCGTGCGAGTGGAAGACCAGCACGCGATTGTTCTGCTGCTCGGTCACGAACACGTTGCCCTTGGCGTCGATGGTGAGGCCGACCGGGTAGGAGTGGTGGCCCTCGCCCAGGTGAAAGGAGCCCTCGAACTCGCCTTTGGGCGTGAAGATGAGCACGCGGGCGTTGTCAGGGTCGGCGGCGTAGATGTTGCCCGTGATCGGGTGCACCGCGATGCCGCTCAGGCCGTTGCCTGAGGCCCTCTTCTTCGTCTCGTCGTCGTTGAAGTGCAACGGAGACACCTGCTCGATGATCCGCTCGACCGTGAGGGTAGAGGCCCGTACGACTGTGATGTCCATGCGCTTGCTCTGGGTCACGTAGATCAGGCCACCGGCACCGACCGCCACACCGACGGGCTTGGTGAGCGCGCCCACTTTAGGAGGTGGGGCGTATGATGATGATGAGCTGGTCCAGGATGTGAGGAATGTGGGTCCTTGCTTGGATGGATGAAGGACAAAGATCTGATTGTGCTGCTGGTCGTCGACGATCAGGTTGCCTGTCTCCCAATCCAATGCGATGCCGCATATGTTCTGCCCTTGGTGACAGTAGAGCAGCATGTCCTTATTCTCCAGCGCCCCTGAAGCGTCGTAGATCGCAGAGTAGACAGTACCATGAGGTCCTTGATAGATGACTACAAGGCGGCCGTTCTTGGCAGCAGAGATGCCGCGGATCTCGGCATCGGCGTGCTCCGGAGGGGGGGTGAGCCTGAACAGGGGACGACCCTGCACGTCGGCCAGGTGGATGCGCAGGCGGGCAAGCTTGGCCAGCGCGACGTTGAACTCGCGCGTGACTTCTTGCACCTGCCCGGCGCGGTTCTGGTTCTTGGCCTTAGCTGCGTTGGCCTGGAACTGGGCGTCGACCTGGCCGAGGGCCGTCTGGATGAGCTCGTAGTTGGTCAAGTACTGCCTCAGCTCGGTCGCGGCGAAGGCGCTGTCTTCGAACGCGCGGTACTGCTCGGCGAAGACGACCAGCTTCTCGTTGAGGAGCTCGAGCTCCTCGAAGGTGTGGCAGCGCGCGTAGTCGACCTTGTCCTTGAAGGTGTCGCGCACGGCCACCAGCTCGCCGTCCCACCTCCACCACCCGAAGAACTCGCGCTGGGAGGCCGTGTGGTCCACGACCAGCTGCGTCCTGGCATGCAGCTTTCCCTGGAAGGAGAGCATGGACGGGTCGCCCCTGATGCGCTGAATGATCTCCTTGTTGATGGCCGAGATGGCCTGAATTTTCTCGAACAACTGATGTATCTCCATCTCTATGCTGCGTGCGTTGTGGTGAGGTAACGACGGGTTCTCCTCCTTCTCCTTCCCCTTCTTCTCCTAGTCCCATTTTTCGGGCAGGAGCAGATTTCAGGAATTCCAGAAATTCCAGTCGGTTGACGTGGAATGCTGAAAAACCCAGCCAGGTGACAAAATTTTAGGAATTTATTTTGGGCACTGCCGGGTTACTACTCGCTCATGGCGTCGGCGTCGTCGCCGGTCGAGGTGGCCGGTTGCGTGGGGAGGATGAGGGGCTGGAGGAGCTCGAAGCAGCCCGTGCCGCCCTCTACCACCTTTCCCAGCACCAGCGATGCCGAAGCGTTGGAGATCGGGTCCCAGTCGCCTCGCCTGCGCATTGCACACACGATACAGAAACGATTGAGGTGAGTGCGAGGTTTGCTTTGGGGGGGAGGGGGAATGGGGCGAAAGAGAGATCAGCGTACATGGTGGCGTCGGCGAGGAAGACGGTGGTGGTTTCGAAGGACATCTTCTGGTAGGGCGACGTGGACATGTTCATGCCAGCTCGGTTGAAGGGCTTGTAGCCGCCCTCGAACGTCATGTAGTCGGCGATGATCGCCAAGTGACGGTGATCTACTCCAATACCGTAGACCTGCACACACGCACTCACACCGTGAGTCATACGACACGCACGACACACGACACGCACAACACGACACAGCACTACACACACGGCCCAACGACACATACCTTGAACACGCCGTTGATTTCGTCGGCGATGGAACGGCGGGCAGCTTCGACGCCAAAGGTGGTGAGTACGGCGTAGATATCGTTGGACCTCACCCCGCTGAGGTCGACCACATCGGCGAATTGGGCGATGATGCCAAAGTTCACGCCCTCCGTCTGGACCGCATACTTGGTCTGGCCATTCGGTGGCGGCTGTTGTGCGTTACGTGCGCGAGTCAGCATAGTGCGGAGGCCACACGCGCGCGGCAGAGAGGAAGGGCGTACGATAACGAAGGCTCGCTTGATGCCGTCGACCTGCTTGACGACGAAGTTGGCGACGAGAGCCTCCACCAACGAGATCATGAGCAGCTTCTTATCGGCCATGCCCACCTTCACCTCGACCTCCACCAGCATCTGCGCGCAGTTGAACGAAAATGAGTCCTACGTATCCTGCGTGCGTGCGGCGCGTGTGCAGTGGTGTGTGTGCGTGTGCGGCGGCGGCGGCGCGGGTGCGGTGGTGCGTGTGCGTACCCGCTTGTGGTCGAATCTGTAGTCCTTGAGGATCTCATCGCTGCCGAGAAGCACCTTGCGCGGTTTGCTCGGCGAGGCGCGCGTAGTGGCCTTGACGGGCGCGACCTTCTGAGGTCCAGCGGACTTGCCAGTCGTCTGCTCATCGTCGTCCTGCTTGCCCTTGAGCCTGGTCTTCATCTCCGACAGCGACGAGTCGACGCTGTGCTTCTGCTTGCGACCGGCATCCGCCACCTCCCTCAGCTCCTCCTCTTCGGCGTCGTCGTAGGAGGCGTGCTCCTGCTTGCGGCTCCTCTCCTTGCCGAGCGCGGCCGACTCGTCCTCCTCGTTGCGCGTGCTCTTGCGCTGGGTGGTGGGGTCCTCCGCGTCGTCGTTCTCGCCGCTCATCGCCTGGTTGATGTCCCCGTCCGAGAGTCGCACCCGCTGGATGACTGCATTCCATACCAATCA